CACTGGACACTGGTTGTGGGGTATGTTGTGTTCCCCCAATTCACTGTTTCTTTAGCCTTGATTCCATTCTTTTATGTTTTCCCGTTCTCTTATCTGGGAGAAAATTTAACATTTTCTTCTGTTTGTTTGATCCATATGATGTAACAATGGTGTATTTTTCTTAGGTTGCCAGTTGGGGTGCATACTTGTTGAGTAGACATGTTCTGGCCATGTCATTTGCGCCAAGAGATTCCCATGAGGCACAAGTCCAATTTGCTCTTGAGAGGGGTGTACCTGCAGTTATTGGTGTTCTGGGTACAATAAAGCTGCCGTATCCATCCAGAGCCTTTGACATGGCTCATTGTTCTCGTTGCTTAATTCCATGGGGAATAAATGGTAAGTATTAGATACACCAAACTCAGAGCACTTCTACTTGGTATGAATTGTTGATATCTAATAATCAGCAGTCATTTCTGACATTAAATTTACTATTTGGTATGTACAGATGGAAAATATCTCAAGGAAGTTGACCGAGTTCTTAGGCCTGGGGGTTATTGGGTGCTTTCGGGTCCTCCAATTAATTGGAAGAATAATTACATTTCATGGCAGCGTCCCAAGGAGGATCTTGAGGAGGAACAGAGACAGATTGAAGAAGCTGCTAAACTTCTTTGCTGGGAGAAAAAGTCTGAGAAGGGTGAAACTGCCATTTGGCAGAAGAGGGTAGATTTTGATTCATGTGGAGACAGACAAGATGCTTCCCGTGCTAACTTTTGCAAAGCTGATGAAGCAGATAACGTCTGGTATTTTCATGTGCTTAAATTTTGTTTACCATTCTCTTTGTTTTTAATACTGGGAGGCCTTCGTGCAGTTACCAATTGACAAGAGGACATTGATTCTTTTTTTGGTCTTCCTGTATAACTTTACATGTATCCAACTTGTGTTCTCAACTTTTAAATGCCAGCATGTATAGGAGGATGATAGAAAAATATGGGGCAACTACTTTAAATGAACGCTAATGGTGTTCCAACGTTGTTACCTTAAAGTTTTTAGCAGACAGGGTTTGTTGTCATCTGTAATGAAAAGCCTTGCAGAATTATTTTTAGTTAAAAGGGGTCCTGAGGTCTAGCTGGGTTATAATTAAATCGCATGTTTGTGCTTTAGCTTATCAGCTTATGCTGTTAACATAGATATATTTTTTCTTATTTTTTCTTCATTTTGGTTGTTATCAGGTATAAGAAAATGGAGGGATGCATAACTCCATATCCTGAAGTTTCCAGTGGGGAGTTGAAGCCATTTCCAAAAAGGCTTTATGCTGTTCCCCCCAGGATTTCTAGTGGGTCTGTTCCCGGAGTTTCTGTTGAGGACTATGAGGAGGATAACAAAAAATGGAAGAAGCATGTAAATGCTTATAGAAGAATCAATAAACTAATTGACACAGGAAGGTATCGCAACATTATGGATATGAATGCTGGTTTGGGTGGTTTTGCTGCAGCAATTGAATCTCCAAAATTGTGGGTCATGAATGTGGTGCCCACAATAGCTGAGAAAAATACGCTGGGTGTTGTATATGAGCGAGGATTGATAGGCATCTACCATGACTGGTACCCTACTCTGAACTTTTCTCCCCTGTCTAATTATTTTCCTCTAAAGCCTCCTCTTTAGCAAATTCTGTTGACATTCCTATATTACCATTCAAGTATATTACATGCTTCCTAGACTGCTTTCAAGATAACCATTATTTCCTTTCCTGCTAAAAATGTCTTCCGGCAGCTGAACATTTGTGTTAGAACTTAAAACATGTCAATAGAAGTGCGTGTTGAGTATTTTACAGTGTGCGAATGGCTTTTTCCAAAATGGTTTTAGAAGTGAATTATATATAACCATCTTTTTTTCATGAAAACGAAAAGTTCCTGTGATGTGTTAAATAATTGTGAGGTCCTGGAGCAGATCTCTCCTTCCATTTATTTTGTTTGTTTATCAATCATTTTATTCTTTTCTGGTGACGCTATATCAGGTGCGAAGGTTTCTCTACTTACCCAAGGACATATGACCTCATTCACGCCCATGGTGTTTTCAGTTTGTACGATGGAAAGTAAGTATATCTTCATTAGTTTTTGGCTTTCTTTAGTGCTTTTTTACTCCAACGAAGAAAACCTTGGCTTATTTGGTGTAATACCTAATTAGATATTCCCTATGTTACTTGGCCTCAGTACATAGAAAACTGTGTTAAGCTTGAATCTATGGCTGGTTTCAGTTAGGATGGATTGACGTTGATAATGTTAAGCTCATTTAGGTCAACCCGACATTCTGGACTTGTTTAGCATCATTCAATCTTGGCTATCTACCCTTCATGCTTTTTCTCGGTCGAATATTGTTCTTGAAGCTTATTGGATTGGCCTGCCTTATTTTTTCAAGTCGAACGATTAAGATTGGTTAATACGGTAAACTTTTTATGAAGTTCTTTTACGGTCCAACAGTAATTTCCCTGAGCACTTCGCTTATAAAAGATGGTACACGAAGCCGTTTAGTTTGAGGGTGAGGTGATTCTTTTGGTTATGATGGTATGTGCACATGTAACACCAACTATTTATTAACTTGTCATAATAAGAATCCGACTGTAGTGTTGCGAAATCATCTTAATGAGGGATAGTATATGTAGATCCAATCAGGGGTAATTGTTTATGTACTGACGGGGATCCCATACTTGCAATAGTAGAGGCAGAACTAACCACTTCAATTTCAGATTGTTTCTTATGCCAAGACCAATTCACTGTTTTGCTTATTCTTTCCTTCTGCTTTTCTGTGACTGAGTAAGCTGTATTGAATGTATCGCAGATGCAATTGGGAAGACATTCTTCTTGAGATGGACAGGATTTTGCGGCCAGAAGGTGCGGTCATATTCCGCGATGAAGTTGATGTATTAATTAAGGTGAAGAAAATAGTTGGAGGAATGAGATGGGATACTAAAATGGTGGACCATGAGGATGGTCCCCTTGTACCAGAGAAGTTATTGGTTGTTGTCAAGCAGTACTGGTTTGGAAACTCCACCGACACGCAATGAACGCCTTAAAGGACGGCTTCTGATATCGTGGATCTAAGCTGGCAATGTTCTCTGTTACAAGTCCTGACAGGGATGTGTATTTTTCCAGTGAGCACTTTTACTGCCCGAGTACTGAGTACTACATACGGAGGAGGGCTTACACAATCTATGTTCGCTAACTATCTTCCGCCACGTTCCTTTGTAGCATTTTATAAGTAGACAAAGCTACAGAGGTAATATGCTTGTATGTTTAGAGTATCATTCATTTTACAGAACCCCTTTTGTTAAATCTGTACGCCGTGGAGGCCAAAATTCGATCAAACACTAGCTTCCTTAGTTGACTGTCGAATTTCAGATGTATGATTTGCACTTGCAGCCTGCAGTTTAATGAGTTTATCTTTTTATTGATTCAATTTCCTCTCGAAACATCGATATTCTCTGGTTTTTAAGGTTTCCCTTCCTTTTTTACCACTTTATTATTTTCGCTTGTATGGCTTGTAAAATCGACATGTGAATTGCCTAAATCTGGCTGACTGGTGTTGAAAAGGCAAAAACCAAGAACAATTGGAATTTATTGTGATGGGATGGAATTAGCTTTGTTGGTTTAGAAATGAATTCAAGTCTGCGTGTAGTATTCATATCGTCACCACTTTTAATTTCATAAAGTGAAATTTTTGTTCGGTCAGTTTCATCTCACATTGGATATGAAAGTCTTACGATAAAAGTTTAAAAGCTCTTCGGCCTCTCCAATCACTGTCATACCGGCACGGTAACACGTTACAAAGAGTCTCTTATCATTGTGTTTCATCAATTATTGATGATAATTTTTCTACGGATCAGAAGAAAAAAAAATTGACAGATCAATGGTATTCCGACTTCAGTAGACACCGCAATCTGTGGATACCGAGACAACAAATTCTGTGTGTCTTTGTATTAACAGAGGAGGATGGGTGCTATTTCTTTATTTAAATGGCTTTACTTGTATGACAGATCAACTACAAATTATTATTGTTCACATACACTTCATATTCTCTAGAAATTTAAAGGAACGACTTAGAGGTTTGTAGCTTGAGAAGTCGAGATTATTTATCTATGTGTCCAAGGTTTTGTGCTCAATTTCAAAAGAAGATAACTCAAGAAGACTGAAATCGCATTTTATTCGCCAGAGTCGTTCTAAAATGACTCGATTCGCTAGAAATTTTAGAACAGTGGTCATAACTCATTTTAAGAATATTAATCATGCATCCAAAGTCATGTACGTGTTATGTATAGGTAAAAAAAATTCAATAGGGTAGTATGACCATGTGATTGTATAATATTCAGAATCCTACTTCTAAGAATACCTAACCAATCACGTGATCGGGTTACCCTAATGAAGTTTTTTGTATGTACATACAGAGGGTAGCTCTAGGTCTGTTGTTAGTCATATCTCCTTTAAGAAAGAATCAGAAGTTGAAAATTTTCTTTGGTATTATTGGAACCCAACAAGTTGGTGTGAGCTTGTTATATTTGTAGGCGTCCAAAATGTTCAAATAAGAACCATGTTATATGACATCCGCAAATATGGAAATCGAACCAAACATTTAACGTACTGTATATTTGGCAGATTTCTTGGAAATTTATATGTCTAGTTGATATATTATACAGAGTAATGCTAAGGAGATCACATATTTATACTACATTTGTGTGCTATATCACGTGGTAAATAATGCATATAGGTAATATCTAATAAGATAAATTTATTAATTGACGTGACATGTACATATCATTTGTCACATTAAATAATACACATATAATATAAAAATAAGATCTTCCCAATATTTTCCTATTACATATAATGGTAACCGAAAACCAATGATTTTTCCTCTCGTGAAAAAAATGACAAACTGTCAAATTAGGCAAAGAAGCAAGCATGTCCCTACCCTCTGAATGTACAACTTTTCATGTTCCATGATAAGCCTCCGCCTCTACATATACAACCATAGTTCTCAACTAGCTCTCTCACCAGCCTTATCTTCTCTAAGCCTCTGAAATATTCAACAAAAACCCTCCTTGTCAATTCAATTCCTCCTTCAATCCGATCCATCTTCTCTTCGGTTTCAAAATTTCGAACTTCTGATTTTTTTTCTCTCTTTTTTTTTTTTCTTTTTGTAGTTTTATGTTTTCTCCTAGCCTTTGGAAACCAATTTGTTTTCTCTACATTTTGTTACATAGAGTTTGTTCGAGAATTCAACCCTGCACTCGAGTTCCATAATTCGATTCAACTCAGCTCCACCAATATTACTTGTCTCAAAAAGGTTTCTCGGAGAATTTTGAGTTCTCTTCTCTATGGCCATTGTTACCTCAAAATCAACTAGTAAGGCGAACCTCTCGCAAACTTTTCCCTTCGAGAACGCCGTCGCCATCCGTGATGCTTCATTTTCTTCATACTTTAGCGGCATTGAGAAAGCCGTCGTGCATAAACTCGCCGATCAGGCGAGCAAGGAGCAGCAGCATAACAATAACAATCACTTGGTAGCAAAAAAGGAAGCAGCTGACGATGAAGAAATTGGAGTGTTCAGAGCTGAAAAATACTTCAATGGAGTAATAGATGAGGAGACAAGCGTCACAAGCCCGAAAAGCGGCAGCAGCAGCACAAATAAGTACCATCATAACAAGGATAAACCAGTGAGTATGGATCACATGAAGATAAGGGTTCAGCCGGGGACTCCGAGTGTGCGTTCTGAATCGAGCTGGAACAGCCAAAGCACCTTGCTTCGAAGCGCGCCAAGAAATCCTTACCGGACAAACACAACTACGGGAAACAAACAGAGGAAGAACTTCTTTGCCAGCCTTGGCTGCAAATGTTCGTGTTCAGATAAGAATTCGGTTGATGTGGATGAACACGTCGGTGAGATCAGCTTCAAGAAGAACAATGGTGTAAACACAAGCTGCACGACAACACCAATTAATCATAAACCTCCTGGTGTGGCAGAGATTGTTGATGAAGTTCTAGTTGATATGAACAAAAGCGAAAAGCTCGAAAAGTTGGGAGTTGAGTTGGGAAGAGAGAACTGTTTTACTTTCCCAACTTTAAAATCCGGGGCGGGGAGTTTGCCGCCGAAGATGCTTCCCTTTCACCAAGCAGAAGAGGAAGCAGAGAAAGTGAGGAAGTCTCTGGAGGTGTTCGGCTCCCCTGTGTTTGAGAAGCAAAATAAGTCTTTCGCCCTTGGAAAAAAGCTCACAATGCTGCCGCGGGATGAGTTTCAGGCAAGTTCTGGTGGTGTAATCTACAACAATGAGTCGGATAGTGATGCAAGTTCGGATCTTTTCGAGATTGAAAGCCTCACCGGCAAAGCAAACCCTTTTCTTGCGCGGCAAGCATCAGATGCTGGCTCTGCGACGCCAACGAATTGTTATGCGCCGAGTGAGGCGAGCATAGAGTGGAGTGTGGTCACCGCCAGCATTGCTGACATATCCATGATGTCCGACTTCGAAGATCAACAGAGACCAGCGAAAATGGCTCCGAATTCTACGAATGCCAATGCAAGAATGAGCAAGGAAATTCCGAGGCACCACTCCGGGGCACTGTTGGGTTGTAAGAGCCATAAATCTGTGAAAGTTGCAGGAGATGCACACAGAAGTACATATCAACACGAGAAGAACAATTTCGAACCACAGATCATGCGCCGCCGGGCAGAATCATACGTGGCAGGGACAAGGTTTCAAGCTGAGACAACTAATAAGCTGGCAGGCTTTGATGCCAGAGTACAAGGGCAACATGCTCTTGCAGCACGGCCGCTCCCTCGTTCACATTCACCACATGCTTCACATCTTTTGTTCATGTAGTCAAGTAAATCTATTTATTGATGCAGTGTATATAATGTATGGACCATAATTTTCTCTAGTAGTAGTGATTAATTCCAAAGGCTGCTTAAGTTTTAGAGTACGGCAATGTATGACATACCTTACAGAATTTAACGGCTGGATGTGCGCTTAAGAATTTAAAAAGTATATCTAAATCACTTAAAAGTTAGAAGGCAATGCATACCATACACTGTCACACGTGCCATAATAAATGCCACAATACCTAGTGTATGACATACAAAACTAAATTTAACGTATGACATATATTATTAAATTTAATGACTAGATAAACGCTGGGTATCCGATTTCAATACGCAATAGCTCTCTTTATGTCTGTATCTAACTAGTTTTCTTACTAGTTCCTTCCAACCTTTTCTGCAAGGAAAATGCAAGATTTTGGTGTATGTTGCTGGCGTATTACAAACAAATTGGTCTGCAGATTGCGGTGCAAAAGGACTTTTCTCCACACATTCAAATGCTTCCTCTTCCATGACATGCTTAGAAGGCTACAGATCTATCTTTCTTTTTTCTTATATTCTCGTGGATTCAAAACCGAGGTTCCCAACACTCCACTTTCAGTGCTTCACAAAAAAGCAGCTTAAACGGGAAGCTAACATGACCGAGTTGTCAAATCTTTATTCCCCCTTAACGACCACACCTGAAGTGATACACACACACACACACACACACACACATATATATATATATTTATATATATATATATTTATACATCTAAATTTATTTGAACTTCACAAAAAAGCAGATTCTAAACAAAGGTTAACTGTTAAACAGTTACAAATCTTTTACACTCTTTCATCCTTCACAATTGCTTTGAACTTCAGTAGAAACAGAAATAGCAGAAACATTGGATCCGGTTCTATGAACAGAAAGCTGTCCATCATCAGAGACAATCAAAACTCAATCAGACCCCGCACTGGGATGGATTTGCTTCCCACTTGTAATAAGTAATCCGGGTGTGAAGCATGCATCTGGTCTTTATAATGATTGTCAATATGAACAGACGTCGTATATAGAGAATTTACATTGGTATTAGGAGCAAATATTATATAATTTAGACAATATTTGGTTCAGGCAAGCCATAGTCTGAGTTATTCCTTCGTTAATGACAATGTAACACTAGTTCACTAGACCATTCCTCATTCAATAACGATGACATTATTTCATCCTAAAAATGTGATAATCACAACCTTTAGTTCCCTTATTATCATCTAAATATCATATCTAAAAAATTCATTCACTTTGAAGACCGTTAAACCATTCATATACGTCGAAAAATAAAAAATTTATGTAACAAGTAACATCCTTATTAATCGTCAATTTAAATCCCTCAATAATCACACATAAAGTGATTTACATTAGGGTCCTCATGGGAGAAGGTCTTGGGTGCAACACCCATAGGTGGTGGGCAATGGGGGTGGTGGGAGTGGGGTGAGGTCATTATCTAGGATAGTGGTGAGTTTCAAAGAAAGCGGTGGTAGGCTATAAGGGGGTATATTGTGTTTATGTATGCACATATACGTAATCCAGGTACCGAACTCCAGAATTTCTCCCCTCATTAGGGCTAGAAAGATTCATTAGTTAAAAAAAAGTTCAACCATGAAGAGCGGCCAGAAGCCAGAAAGGTTCCCATGTGCTCCTGAATACAACCTCCAAATCAAATAATTCACTCAATTTAGTCTTCTCTTACTATAATTTTCCATTCTATCCAGCTATGTACTTTTTAATGTCGATCTTTCAATTTTAAAGGAAGGAATGTCTTCCAAAAATGACATAATCCTCACCATGAAACATTCATACCCTCATTAAAAACCAGAGAGCATAATTGGATAAGCATCAAAATCTGCAATAACTCGCTTATAAATACACTGCCCCATTTCTTGCCCTTCTATTTCAAGTGCCTGGGCCAAATATTTTATGATTTATTTGTCCTAGAACTCATCCTTATGATTTATTTCAGTCCTAGAACTCATCCCAAATGAACAATAATATTTTAGGACGTTTATCAATATTTCACTGAGCACGTTTATTAATGTTTAAGTAATAAATCAATCATTAATTTTTATATTCTTTAGTTTTCAAAGTTTATCTACAAATTTAATCTTCCTAACCATTACTCATCAGAAAGACGTGCATGTGCAGATGTAAATTCAAGAAGGAGAAAGTCGTTGAGGGCCTCGGGGCCATGAATGCGAGAGAGGACAACATCGAACAACATCAATCAAACACACCGCATAAACCCTGAGGGGTAATCGGATCAAGTGTTTACTTCTAATTGGAAAACGTAACCATCTTCATCTCTTTTATTAGAGTAAATTGTAGTAATGGTCTTTCATTTTTAATTAAATTGGAGCAATGACCATTTAACTAAAAATTCATTACCATTGGTCCATCAACTCATCAAAACGTGTAACTATGGTCATTTTCGTCAACTTCGTCAGAATTTTGTCAAAATGAGTTATCTTGGAAAGACCATTGCTTCACTTAGATTAAAGTTGAGGGACCATTTTTCTAGTTGGATTAAAGTTGAGAGACCAATGGTAATGAATTTTTAGATGAGGGATCATAACTGCACGTTTTGATGAGTTGAGAGACCAATGATAATGAATTTTTAGTTGAGAGATCATTGCTTCAATTGAGTTAAAATTAAGGAACCATTGCTATAATTTAATTATTTCATTAATTTAGGTATATAATTCAAGAAATGAGCAGATCCTCCAATCACATCCGTTCATCATACACCGTGCGGCTAGTTTTCATTATATACTGTTTATATTTAATTTTAAATTAAAAAAAATTTACAATGAATTTTGACCGCACGATATGCGATGATATGCGATGAACGGATATAATAGAAGGATTTCCAGGATCCTCACAAAGAGAATTCAGAGAGAATCCTCACAAAGAGAATCCGAAGAGGATCCTCATTCTGATTCAAGCACCCACGTTGAGGATCATGATTGTGACTGTAAACTAAATAGGAAAGCGTGGCAAAGTACGCACCCCATATCTTATTGAATTTAACAAGTGAATCTGCGCTGAAAAAATTAAAAAGTACGTCTAAACCACTTAAAATTTAGAAGGTGCATACTGTACATTGATTCATAGTCACACTTGCCATAAAAACTCCACAGTACCTTAGTGTATAACATACAAAATTAAATTTAATGTATGACCTACATTACTGAATTTAATGACTAAATATACTCTGAATATCCAATTTCACTACGCAATAACTCTTTTAAGTCTGCATCTAACATTTTCTTACCGTTAAAAGATCATCAGTTCTTGATGAAACGTATGTAGCACTGGCTTGTCGTTGAAATAGATGTAGCAGTGGTTTGTCGTTCCTTCCAAACATTTCTGCAAGGAAAATGGATGTAAAAGCACCTTTCTCCACGCATGCACAGGAAAACTGGTTTTCAAATGCTTCCTCTTCCTTGACATGTTTAGAAGGCTACAAATCTTTCTTTTTTTTTCTTGTATTCTTGTGGATTCAAAACCTGAGGCTCCCAACACTCCACTTTCAATGCTTCGCAAAAAAGCAGCTTAAACTGGGAGCTAACATGGTCGAGTTGTCAAATCTTTTGTCTATATTCCCCTCTAAGGACCACACCTGAAGTGAGATATATATATATATAGAGAGAGAGAGAGAGAGAGAGAGAGAGCAAAATAGAGAATTCTAGACAACGGTGAACTGTTAAACAGTTACAAATCTTTTACGCTTCTTTCATCCTTCCCAATTACTTTGAATTTCGGTAGAAACAGAAATAGCAGAAACAAACAAAGCTCCCCATCATCAGAGACAATCAAAAATCAATCAAACCCCACACTGGGATGGATTTGCTTCCCACTTGTAATAAGTAATCCGGGTATGAAGCACGCATCTGGTCTTTATAATGATTGCAAATGTGAATAAACGTCCTGCACAGAGAATCTGGACAATTCTTGGCTCAGGCCAGGCCATGGTCTGCCTTTCCTTCATTAATGGCGATATTACATTATTTCATTAGACCATTCCTCATTAATAACGATGTGATATCATTTCACCGTAAAAATGTGATAATCTCAACCTTTATTTCTCTTTATTATTATCTAAAAATCAAGTCTACAAAAATTTACTCAATTTAAAGACCGTTTAACCATTTATATATGTTGACAAATCAAGAATTAACATAACAAATCACATCTTTATAAGTAAACATCAATTTAAATCCCTCAATAATCACACATAAAGTGCTTTATATTAGGTCCCTCACGAGAGAAGGTCTTGGTTACGGCGCCCACAGGGGGTCGACTATGAGGGTCGTGCAAGGAGGTGAGGTCATCACATAGAATTGTGGTGGGTTTCAGAGCAGGTGGTGGTACGCCATAAGGAGAGCTTTTGTATTTAAAGTCCGCACAGACACGTGAACTAGTTACGAAGCCCAGAATTTCTCCCCTCATGGAAGCTAGCCAGAAAGATTCCATAAGTTTCATAAAAATAAAAAAATAAAAAATAAAAAAAAAGGTTCAACCATGAAGAGGGCCAGAAGCAAGAAAGATTCCCATGTGTTCCTTAATAAACCTCCAAATCCAATAGTTCAATCAATTTAGTCCTCTTATTATTATTTTCCATTATCTCCAGCTCTATACTATTTAATGTCGATCTTTCAATTTTAAAGGAAGGAATGTCTTCCAAAAATAACATAATCTCAGCATGAAACATTCATACCCCCATTAAAAATTAGAAAGCATATTTGGATAAGCATCTATATCTGCATTAACTTGCTTACAAATACACTGCCCCATTTTTAGCCCTTCCATCTCAAATCCTGGACCAAATATTTTAATTTCGATGTACATGTATAACTTTTTTTTTTTTAATAAAATTATTATTATGGGATGAGAGTTTGAAACTATTAAATGTAAAGAGTTTCAAACTCAGGACGCATGGGTGAAACCGCACCCTACCTACTCAGATAGGTGATGGAAGAATTTCAAACTCGGAACGCATGGATGTACAAGTATAACAAGTAAACTGCAGAAAAGGAAAAACAACAATCGTTTTTAGCAGTTTTATGATGTATTTGAGTCCTAGAACTAAACCCAGATGAACAATAGTATGAGGGATTACTACAGACGCTAGGTTTTCTACCTTCCACCAGTAAATCTCAGGGGTTATGTTGTTTGTTGGGAAAGCTTTTAGAAACATTCCAATTGTCTTGAGATGCCACGAGAAGAGGAGAGCTAAGTGAGAGAAACTTGCATGTCAAGGCGTATATACAATATATTATAACCTTGTGAGGTGAGAAGCATGAACACTAAACCCTGTAATCTTGTAAGAAAAGTAAAGTTAAACGATAGAAATTTGCTCTTCACGAATGAACACAACTTTATGAGAAAGAGAGACAGGTACGAAAAATGTATAAACTCCGTGACAAGCGAATTGTATCAGAAAGACATGCATGTGAAGATGTAAATCCGAGGAGGAGAAAGTGGTTGAGGGCCATGAATGCGAGAGAGGATAACATCGAACAACATCAAACACACCACACCAAACACTGAAGGGTAATCAAATCAAGTGTAATTCAAGTACACACGTTGAGGATCATGGTTGTGACTGTGAACTAAATAGGATAGCTAGCGTGGCAAAGTAAGCATCCCACACAAAGCTTAGCTACCAACCAAACCATAAATCTTACAAAATTTCCTTAGGTGTCGTTTACTAGTCCAGAAAAAGATGAATAGGATTTGCAAGGGTGAATTTGAATTTTCATTCAAACAGAGTAATTTAGAATATCGTATATGTCTCAGACCAAAAATAACGGATGGACTCCCTAGTCGACATTCTAAACGAACCATTTCTGGCACGAAATAGTTTGGCACAACCAATGGTTCTGGTTAACTCGTAACCGGAAATCTATTTCCTTAACACATAGGAATTAGGATCCGAAACCCAATTGAACGACAAAATCGAAACAATAGATTGAATGCATAAACCAGAAACATGCTGCCCATGAATGGAGCTTTAAACAAAACTTAGAAAGTACCAACATCTAACATCTTGATGTCTTAATTAAACGGAGTTGGAATAATATGACACCACAAGAACGGTCAACAATAATTTGATTGTGCCATTTTGGGCTTTGCTCTAACCGAAGCTATTGCATCGTTTGCCCCAGTGATGGCCTTTTTGATCTCATCTGTATTCCAATCGAGATTGAACTTTCATTCTTACAACTATCGAGCATGAAGAGAATATAGAAAACAATCTAGGGAGGAATTAGACTACATGAGCAAGTAGACCCCGCACAATCACATCCCCAATCCAAAAGCAAATGTAGTTCACGATGACATAATCCGGTGGAAGATTGAAACCACCGGAGCTACTCTCGGAATTTATCTTAATACATGAATTCTTAATTCCCCAACTAAGGTTTAAAACTCATCCAAAAAGAAGAACAAAAGAATAAGGCACAACACAGTATATGTATATACAAAAATATTTAGGCAGTGTGGTTCCCTAAGAAAGAAAAAGAATAAACACTGGTACAATCGAATATAGACTCATGTTTCCTCATGTAAGAATCAGTTCTCCTTCTCCACTTTCTTAGGCCGCACTTCAAAGCCCCCACCTGCTCTCTTCTCTAATGAGTAAGGCATGTACGTACCAAGTATTCTATCCCACACAACAAAGAAAGGCTGGGAGAAGTTATACTTGTTTCCATAGAGCTGGTGATGGACATCGTGGTAAGCAGTATTATTTCTGAACAATGCATGGAAGAGGTTCCCAGGAAGCCATAATCCACAATGATCGTCCACCGTTTTGATGGTCGCAAAGGAGAAGAAGAATATGGAGGCCCGAGGAGACATACCAGAGAAGAGAAAAGATAAAGCCCCGCCAATTGTATCAAGGAGAAGTCCCTCCACAGGGTGATTGTACAGAGCTCCAAATGCATAGGGCACAACAAGTCGGTGATGTTGGGAATGGATATGTTTGTATAAGAACTTGTTGTGGTGCATGTATCTATGCATAAAGTATTGCCAGGTATCCAAAACCACCATTGCAATAACAAACTGTCTTCCTAGATCAATGAAAGAAGGCTTTGTACCTGCATCTCCGCCATCATTCCCTGTCACCTGTCAATTGGATTTTTTTTCATAAGTTTACGTATGTAAAATCAACAAACAAAAGCTGATGGCAGGGTGCTATCAATAAAGTATAAACACAATCTTTTAGCCAAAAAACAAAACTACCATACCCCAGCACAAATGAGGCAGAATTATAGTAATGACCGTAATTCATGCATCAATTGGGACTTTAAGAAAATGGAACTCTAACTAAGACTTGTGAATAACGCTACATGCAAAAATAGATTGCAACAACCACAGCAGAACCAAAAGCAAGTGAAGAAAAGGTAGCACAATGCATAGTAAAGATTCTGTTTTTACTCCCTAAAAAAGGTTATCATGAGGAAAGCAACGACAATCTTGGATAGTAACAACTTTCAAATTGTTTCGTGTAATTTGTGGGTCAATATTAAACAATAAGGTGGATGAGGGACCTAATGTTCTCCACCTAATGATACTCAATCATCCACCATCCTTTAGTGAAAGTTTGTAGTACTTATGACATACATTGAAGTGGAGCACCTAACTATTCAAAAGCTAAAACCTTTACAAAGTAAAATTTTCACAATAGTTCTTCAGAAAAAAAAAAAAAAAGACACACAAACTGACTGAAGGTGGCCACAGCTGGACTAGTTCTGGTTCAATCGTCCTAAACTGATCAATGAACCCAATTTTCTATAATCATGTTACACTTTCCTCATATGCTAACAACAAAAGGAAAGAAGCTTGCATAACACACAAGTCCATCCCTTGAAAACTCAAACGTCTTCCACGGTGAAGCTTAGATTCCAAGATATGTCATAAAGCATGATCGCTAAAACAATACAATGCAAAGAGGATAAGATCACCAAAACCTAAAGTATTAGGTAAACCAAACAAAAGAAGCAGGACCTCCTGCAACCATCACATTTCCAACTACTTTCCTAACCATGTAATAGAAAACGACACGAACAATCCAAGGTATTATGCAACTAGGCTGCCGTTTATCAGCCTGTTTGTTACATTTTATTTTCTTTTGACAAAGGATAGAGTTAGTGGATTAAATTATTAGTTGTTCGGGGAAGGGGGATCGGGGGATCAACGCGGTGCATAGGCATTAATGCTTTCTAACACCATTAGCCAGCCTGTTTGCTACAATTACCACACCATAAACATAACCCAGAAAGGAAAAAACATGTGCAAAACCAAATGATCAGAATTTATCCCCAAAAGAAAATTAATCAAAATTTGAGCCTCCCAAACCAAACCAATTACCCACCAAAAAAAAAAAAAAAAAAAAAAAAAAAAACTTTCCCGATTCATAACCTAATCAAAATTATTACCTTCTGAGTATGCAAAATTAACCAAATTTTGCCTCAACAAAAAGGGAAAGGAAATTGAAGCAGTTACCGTGAACAGGATAATAGCGACAATAGCCTGAATCGTCTGCTGGAGAAGAACCCCTTTGACGACAGTTCTCTTGGAGACCAAATTCTTCTCGTCCTCGTCCTTCCTGGTGTGCAATCGGTACTCCTCGAACGAATCCAGCAGCACGTAAATCCCTGAATACGCCCAATATATCAAAACCGGGACGAAAGTTCCCAACAGCTCATCGGAAACCTCGATTCCCATCTTTTGATTTTTTCAGGGAAAAAAAAAGACGATCAAGACGAAGAAGGAAACCCACAAATCCAAATTCGCATCAAAAGTTATCGATTCGATTCGAATTTTCCTCCAAATCGCCCTAAATTAGAGAAAGCGAGCCTAACCCTAAACTAAATTAGGAATTTTCTTCCCCCACCATTATTTTTATATTAGGATAAACTTATAAAAATAATAATTTAAAAGAAAAAGTGGGTCAAGTTTTCATTTTCCTGTGGGTTCCTGTGGGACGGACAAAAAAAGGGACGCCGGCGTTCGACTGAAAAAATGACGGGAAGATTTTATTCCCGTTTAAAACCCGACAATTCCACTCGGAAGGGTGGAGAGTCCAAAGTGCCCCTGGGGACGACGTGTCAGCTTGTGCTCCTTGGAAGGCATTTTGGAGATTATAAATTATGATACCACAAGTTAACGAAATTTTTAGTTGTGACGGGAATACAAATGGTACACCACGTATTTTAATAGGAGTGGTAGAAAATTTTAAATTTTTTAAGTTATTAACTTTTTAGCACACATATCTCACCATTTGTATGCTGACACGTGGTGTACCATTCCGTATACCGATCACATTGAAAAATCTCTTCACAAGTTGATGTTGATGGAAGAAAAAAAAGAGATACGAAATATGTCAGTAACATACACTAGGTGAACGTATGCTACTCACAAGGCATATGACGTTTTGTATTTTGATCTCATGTGATGTGTGAATCTTCGGTATGAACATTATATGGTTTAATTTGTAAGATGGTTTAATAAAAAGTCGTCAGCCAAATTAACCAAACAGCAAAGAGAGTTTGATAAAGTATATGAGGGGAGAGGCTGAGTTGACTGGACCCTCTACTTAAGTTTCTCTCTTGCTAGGCACCATGTTGGTCTTTTTTAATTAATTAATTTTTTAACAAATGATATTATTTACACTAAGAGAGGAGTGGGCTTAGCCTCACAATAGGCTAGCAATAATGTGGTTCAAATTCGTCTTTGACGATAAACAAACCTAAACCGTCTCACTTATACCGCCTCCAAGTTAGAGTTTTCTATCTCAATATGCATGATTGGTACATGGTGAAGATAAGGTATTGGTATATGATTCAAGTAGAGAGAATAAAGCTTTATAAAATGGAAAACCAAAAAAGCAAGCCAGTGAAAATGCGAAGTATGAACTCGGTTGAGAGGTTGACTGCCTTCAACGACGCTGCTAACAAGGAAGACGACGACGACGAGTGAAAGTTGAACAGTTCTAAATAATCACAAACTTAATTAAACAAACAGCTAGAATTTAAGAGATTACATTGATTATCTTATTAGTTAATTTATGATAAGTATATTGATCAAGTGTTTGCCTATAATCTTATACCAATGGACTCTGCCGTTTTTCTTGATTTTGTGGTCTAGATTGATCAAGTGTTTGCCTATAAATAATCTTTTATACGCAAACATTACTGGTCCAAGTAGGTTGTACTCCTTGGAGAGCATTTTGGAAATTTCCAAATTATAACCGTCACATGTCGAACACATCTCACAAAAATATGAAATTCTCTACATTTTGATTGATTTTGACACAATGCTGGTTTCATCTAACATAAGTGCGGTCCTAGTTTATCTTGTGTGTTAGGCAACGAGCATTCTTATGGTTTACCAAAAATAATAAAATTAAAAAAAAAATTGCAAAGCTCCAATGAGTTAAATAAACCAACCCAAGATACTTGATGAGCAATGGCCATCCGCAACCAAAAAACATAAACTCTGCTTGTATTCATAGCTGAAATTTTCATTGCTTTCTATTGATCCAAGAAGGCAAACATGTATCGTCCTATACAGCCTCCAAGTTCTGAGTTTCGGATACGTGTACATCCTTCAAAAAGTTTAGGCTAGTCTGTCTGGTCCGCTTGCAAAGAACTGAGAAGAGCAAACACATAATAGTTAGGTGTTTTTCTATCTCAATGTGAGTGATTGGTACAGAGTGAAACGATCTGAAGGGAAGCGCATTCAAACCTTTTGCCTTGGTTTCTTTATTAGATGTGAGGACTGAGGTTTTCCAACCCTCGTAGGCATGCTTTTCCATCTTTTTGTGACGCTTGTAACTTGAAGGCTGCAAGTTCAAGTGCATCAAACAGTTGGATTCCATAGTTTTCACTTCTAGGGTGGCTTACTCTAGGGGTTGTTAAGATAAGTAGACTGATCAAGAACAGAAAAACGAAAGCTATATCATTTGTTCCCTCATGCTGTACAGGCAGAGTCCACTCTAAAGCGTGTTTGACCTCAAGGTAGCAAAAGAAATGGATGGTAATACCCATCACCACAGAATTCAAAAAAAACATAATCGATATTAAAAGAGAAGCATTGCGATCCTATCAGAATTCTAACTATATCTCGTGTAGAAAATCCAGTTTGCTTCGATAAGGAAGTGGCATGATTGCCATCAAATGTGGCCAACCGAAAGAAGAAAATAGCATGATAACAGGTTGCAGGGACGAAGCCTGCAGGTCTGTTTATGTGTGCTTATATAGGGGCAAGCATAAACAATGCCTTCAGCTCAGCTAGGAACCAATGTAGCAATTAGAATTAGGTTATTTGTACCTCGTTTCCTTCATCGGAAGAATAGCCACCATCCTCGAGTTTCCTTTTCTCCGGCAAAACATCTAAAAGCTCTGCGAAAAATCAATAAGTTAATGATGGAAAAACATCAAGTTATGATGATGGAAAAACATCAAGTTATGCACCATGGCAATGTTATAACATAAATTCAGCGACTGACACCTACCTCGGTTCCCCTTCACATCCTTGGGATCTTTCTTTTCCTTTTCAGTCCCACAAACATCAAAGCACAAGTCCTTCATGGAAGTCGAAACCTGCAGAAGAAGCTCACATATTTGATAGATGTACATAATGAAGACTAGAAACAAAATGTAGTTGGCAACAAAAGACACTCTTGCATGGTAGAAAGGCTGTATCTTACGGAAGAGAATTCAGTTTCAGATGCACCACAAAGCTCAATCAACTTAAGCTTGTCTACCTTTAACTGCAAACATATTAGGTATGACACTGTAATTAGTAAAAGCTCAACGGAGGAAATTACTTTCTTGCCTTGAAACCAAGTGTGAGAGAGAGAGAGAGAGAGGTCACGGGGATACCTTGTGTTTTTTTGCACACAAATAGAATGCCACAGCAATGAACACAGGTCGAGTGAAATCGGCACTTGCACGCCGAGAAGCTGGCAACGATGCAAGAAACCGAGTCTTGTAACTGAAACAGAACAGAATAAAAATCTACACTTAGAATGAGCCATCCTAACAAATTAACAGAACGCGATGCTCTCAGCAGCATTCTGTCAAACATCTAGCATGTAATATGCAACCCCATGAAGCAAACACATGGAAGTATACATCAAAACCCGAAAGAGATTGGCAATGAATTGCGGAAAAGAAATCAAATCTTACAGAGACAAAGCCTTCTGTACAAAGGGAATGATCCGAACACACCCAAACTGAATTGCCAGTTCTCTAACATCCAGCTTGTTCCTACACAACCACCACAACACACAATCCAATCCAATAATCAGCATCCACTCACTAAACCGAAATGTCACATCGAAATCGGAACAGGCAAATGAGAAATCGAAAACCCACTTGACCCCGAGGCCATTCTGCATCGAATTGTAGGATCTGGTGTAAGCCTTTTCAGACATCCCACTCAACATTATCGCCTTTTTCCGATCGAATAGGAGCCCCGATCTGTAAACCAATTCAATCCGAAACAATTACAACCGTAAAATTAAAGTACGATACTGAAAGCCAACGCGGTTGCAAAATCAAAAGCTCGATTACCTTGTGGCGGCGATTTCTAAGCAAATCACAGCTTTGCAAACCTCGCCCTGCGAATCATAAGTAAAATCGATAAACAAAATACCCAGTTGGGAAAATTTATCAGATAGAGATTTAGGGATTTTGAGAGAAGCTTACGACGCCGATTATGGAAGAGTCGAACTGGATGTCGCAGAGACGGCGGAGCTCGGCGGCTCGTCGGATGACGTGCTTGGAGTCGGAGAGGTCGAGCTTCCTTGCTATGTCGGAGAGATCCATTTTTTCTGAGATGGGATCTCTTGCTGATTGTTGGGTTTTAGGGAGGGAGGGGGAGAGAGAGTGAGAGGGTTTGGCGCTGCGATTGCCATTGCACTTGCCATTTGAGCACTCACGAAAATGGCGGGAAGTGAATTTTTCTGAGTTCGCGCTTAATCGGTTACTTGGATTTTGCGCGGGTAGTTTTTGGCGCCGCTGCGAATTTTAAAATGATGTAAGTCTCGATTTACGGTTGACTACTTCACTTGATCTCTACAAAATATCAATAATTTTTCGTAAATTTTCATAAAATCTCAATTGACTCGGCTCCACGTGAAAAACTAAAAACTCACTTGAAGAGTTTTTATTGCCTTTTTTTTTTTTTTTTTTACTGTTGTAAGTTTACGTGACAATTTTGAAATGAAAAAAAAAACACAGCTTTATTTTTTCATTTTCCGTGAAAAGGGAGATTGTGATCAAGCACTGAGGATGGCTAAAACAGGCTGTTGGTACCTGACCTTCAGGTGGAGGTCAATGGTTCTATAGTTTCTTAGGTACAACTAGGGTTAGGTCGGGTTTAATTTTGAAGGGATCAAATCAGACTCGGGTTTAAAAGAAACGAGTCGAGTCAGGGTGGGTACTGTAAGATCTCACATCGTCCAGGGGTGTGATCCTTATATGTATATTCTCATCCCTACCTAGCACGAGGCCTTTTGGGAACTCATTGGCTTCGGGTTCCGTAGGAACTCCGAAGTTAAGCGAGAAGGGGGCTAGAGCATTCCCATGATGGGTGACCCACTGAAAAATTCTCGTGTGAGTTCCCAGAAATAAAACCGTGAGGGCGTGGTTGGGGCCCAAAGTGGACAATATCGTGCTACGGTGAAGTCGGGCCCTGGAAGTGGTCCTGGCGGGGCCGGGATGTGAAATTTGGTATCAGAGCCTAACCCTGGGCGTGGTGTGCCGACAAGAACGTCGGGCCCCTAAAGAGGGTGGATTGTAAGATCCCATATCGCTCAAGGGTGTGATCCTTATATGTATATTATCATCCCTACCTAGCACGAGGCCTTTTCGGAGCTCACTGGCTTCGGGTTCCGTAGGAACTCTGAAGTTAAGCGAGAAGGGGGCTAAAGCAATCCCATGATGGGTGACCCACTGGGAAGTTCCTCGTGAGTTCCCAAAAACAAAACCGTGAGGGAATGGTAAGCTCAAAGCGGACAATATCGTGCTACGGTGGTGGAGCGGGCCCGGGAAATGTTCCGCCCCAGGTTGGGATGTGACAAATGGTATCAGAGTCTAACCCTGACCGTGGTGTGCCAACGAGGACGTCGAACCCCTAAGGGGGGTGGATTGTAACATCCCACATTGCCCAGGGGAGTGATCCTTATATGTATATTCCTATCCCTACCTAGCACGAGGCCTTTTGGGAGCTCACTGGCTTCGGGTTCCATCGGAACTCCAAAGTTAAGCGAGTAGCACGCGAGAGCATTCCCAGGATGGGTGACCTATCGGGAAGTTCTCGTGTGAGTTCCCAAAAACAAAACCGTGAGGGCGTGGTCGGGCCCCAAAATGGACAATATCGTGTTACGGTGGTGGAGCGGGGCCGGGAAGTGATCCCCCCATAGGCTGGATATGACAGGTACAACATATTTTAAAACAAAAATCGAACTTAACCCGGCCCACTTGAAATGGGACGGTTCAGGCTAGGGTCCATGAGTCCTTTTTTTTTTTTTGTTGTACAATTCAATCGGTTTGATACAATCAAGGCCGTCTCTGCCCGAACCACCACTCGATAGCACCGCCTGAACTCAAATCTACCTCTTTTCCCGCTGCAAATCCACCAAGAGCTGATGCAACTGCAAGTTCATCCGAGACAGAAACCAACCCAAAAAATTACTGCTTGCTTTTACAGTTGCTTCCTTCTCTGCAAATCCAAAGAATCCAAGCAGCAACATAGTAATGGAAGATCCTAAGAACTATGTGGAAACTAGCTTAAGGAAGGCTCCACCCAGCAAATCGAATCCGATCCAGAATCGGTAACAAGGTCAATATTGGCAGTGGCGGATCCAAGATTTTAAACTCGGGGGGTCCAAATAATAAAGGTCAAAAATCATATTGTTATAAAATCATAATTCAAGCGTCCATTACGAGGTTTTATAAGTTACTACGGAGTACCTAAGTTATTGATTATCTAATATGGACCACTAAATTTAAAACACCGGTCAAATAAAACTCTCTCCAAACTCCCACTATCTTTCTAACCAAACACACCATTTTTCTCATTTACTAGTTTCCAAACATCCGCCTTCTCTCTCACTAAGAACACATCTGCTATACCTCCACCAACTGCCTCCCTCCCCATTCTCTCGAAGCCATGGCAGCTCCACCCCCAAATTTCACCAACCCATGACAGATCATATCCATCTTACCAACCTTATGTAGGAAATTTCACCCATAAGAAAAATTACTAGGGTGGTTGAAATAATTTGAGGAAATTTGGGCTTATGTACTGCCCTGCCAGACGACAGAGAAAGGTTGGAGGAGAAGTGGGTGGCACCGATGGATGAGACCATGGCAAAAGCAAGGAGGAGAGAGGCTAGAAGGGTCCTTATTTTCTTTCTTCTCCATGCGTGGTCATCTTCTCCGAGAAGAAGACAGCCACTGCAACCTACACATACCTCATGTTCGAGTACGAGGGGTCCTCGGAAAAATTCTAGCAGCGATTTAGGATCAACCAATGGGTCATGGGACCTCCCAAGTCCCTATGTGGATCCGTCCTTGAATATTGGTGTGAGGATCCCAAAATAGAAAGAGTATGAAATTCCACCTATCGACTTTGATAAATAAAAACACAGATTAAAAAAATTAGAAGAAAGAAAAGTCAAGTTTAGATCTTTATGTTACCTCTGACACGCTCCAACCCCAATATCCTCAAATATCATATTAGGTAAACACGTGTTTGACCGATACTAGTTTTGTTGTTGCACCTGACCATGTAGCACAGACACAGCGAAATAATTCATCATTACAAAACATCTACAGATTAACGCAATAAGAAGTGTCAACGACTGAACTGCTATTGCTGGCTGGGTGTTTCAAAGGAGGGCAGACCAAGTGGCCATTACTAACGGCGTCCCCATAATTGCGATTCAATTCCGAACATAGTGAGTATAAAGCTCGCATGTTGAGGACACATTAGTACTCGGGAGTTGTATCTTCTATTGCAAATGCAGTTCCAAACCTAACTTTCTAATTTTTTCTAAAAGAAGGGTTATTTATAGAAACTAACAAATTGTAATATTCATTTGTACAACCTCTATATTTGATCTAGAAATTTTAGCTCGCCTCAAATGTTAAAAACGACGAGTATTGATGAGCGGATGTGCTTAGTGCACCCTTACCTATTAATGATGTATACACCGAAGCTCGAAATGATGATTGACTTTATTTATATTTTTATTATCGAATTTAATAAATCAAACAAAAACAAAAAATATAATTAGACAGTGATAAATAGGAAACTACGAACATAGTTGAACATAATGCTTGTGTAGGACTTTGTTTATTACTAAAAGGCTCTTGGTAAGACCGTTGGTTTTCTACAAAAGTTAGTTAGGCAAAAATAAAACGAAATAACTATAATTTTTTACCTATCGACGCTGCCATGGAAGGTTGCTTGATGAGATGCTGTCACGGCGGCGCCCTATTCAAAACCCTCAAACCCCTCTCTTTAAACCTCCCAGAAACTCCATTCGCTGCTCTTCCATGTCCGTCTACTCCGGCGGAGGAGGAGGATCGGCTCTTAGTCGCAAGGTCTACGACGCATTGCTGTTAGACGCCGGAGGCACTCTGTTGCAATTGGCGAAGCCGGTCGAAGATGTCTACGCTTCCATCGGAACCAAATACGGTGTCGTATCGAAATCCCACTCTTCAATTTCCCATCAAAATTTAAAAATTGGAGCCAAATTCAAAGAACCCATTTTTTTTTTTTCTGCAGGTGTGACTGCAACTCCAGCTGAAATCAAGCAGGGATTCAGAAGAGCATTTTCTGCTCCTTGGCCTCAGAAGCTGCGTTACCAGGTTCTTAAATTGGTTTAATTTTAATTTCTGCGAATAATTCAAAACTAGTGTGACTAATTAGTTGTTTTGGGTACTAATAAGGCTATAATTAATCGATAATTATAGGGAGATGGGAGGCCATTTTGGAAACTTGTTGTGTCCGAAGCCAGTGGTTGTTCTAATCTCGATTATTTCGAACAAGTTTATGAGGTAATTACAATGATTATATATTCCTAAAGATTGATGCTTTTGAAGCGAATTGCTTTGTAGGAAGCGCTTATGGTAATACGCGATTTTCCTTGAAGGAAAGCGTTGAAATTTTTGTTAGTTGATTGTTAGAAGTGCTTTTGGTTATCGGAAAGTACTTTTAGCTCTTCCAGAAGTAGTCTAAACCGACCATGGTTATGATATTGTTGATGATTTTGGTTGTTTTTATCAGTACTATGCTAAGGGCGACGCATGGCGTCTTCCAGATGGAGCGACCATGGTTATGATATTGTTGATGATTTTGGTTGTTTTTATCAGTACTATGCTAAGGGCGACGCATGGCGTCTTCCAGATGGAGCTTATGAAACAATGCTGCTTCTCAAAGAGGCTGGAGTCAAGGGCTGTTGTATCCAATTTCGACTCCCGCTTACGGAAGCTACTTGAGGACCTTAATGTTTTGCATCTGTGAGCATCTGCGCTAGTCTGTTGTTTTTGGGGTGCACGGGTGTAGGGTTTCTTCGTTTCTTTTATGCGAAGAGATAAAGCATTTCTCATGCTTTTGTTTGCAGGTTTGATTCCGTTATCATATCTTCAGAAGTTGGGTATGAGAAACCAGATGCAGGCATATTCGAAGCCGCTTTAGGTATGCATAGCAATGTCGTCGTAGAGATCAAGATTTGTTCTTACAATTTAAAAGTACACTGTGAAGCTACTCTCTAATTCCGTCTGTTGTTGCAGATCAAGTACTTGTGGATGCTGGCAAAGCGGTACATGTTGGCGACGACAAAATTGCAGATAAGGATGGGGCCAATGCCATTGGAATCGATTGCTGGTAAGAGTTCTTCGCAGTACAAATAGAATTTGTCCGGTGACCTCTTGGTGATAACTGTTAGGACGTTTCATCAATGTCGCACTATACAAAACATATCTGTATTCGATACTACTTACCCTTGATTTGAATAAGCAGGTTATGGGGCCTAGATGTCAAGGCATTCTCCGACATTCAAAATCGCATTCTCATTTCAGAGTCTCAGCTTGCGAAGGACTAGGTACCACACTGCATTTTTGTTGATAGTAAATTCAAGCTTGCTCGATCCTCATTTGTTCTTTGTTTTCAGGTACCGCACTGTGAATCCCAAGCAGTGTCTTCGGCTCCAACTGATCGATTGACATAATAATTAATTTAACTAGTGATGTTACTGGAAAGGAAAATATCATCCGATCAGCTCAAACAGTGAATGTTTCAAGTGGAAATAAATGGATATTCATTGAACATCAATGGAGCTTACAGAGATCAGAACAACGTTACATTTGCCCTAGCCGAGGTACAATTTTCAGTTGTAAATGCTAGGACAACAATGGAACGATTTCGTTAAGCAAGATACCGATACAATTTTCTGTCTACATTGTCCCGTTCCAAGAATTCCCGCTCAATAAGAGACTCAATCCGCTTCTTAACCTCCGTTGGGTTGGCCAGGAATCGAGATTGCAACTGCTTTGTGACCTCGGATATTACGTTGTTATGATCCAGAGTCCTCCTTGATTTCATGATCCTCACAATCGCAGCTTCGATCTGGGGCTTCCTGTCCTCCTCCACTCTCTGCCGAGTCTCTTGTTTTTCAGGTTCTGATTCCTTCTGTGCAACCACAGTTCCTATCTTCACCTTATATAACTTACTCGTGAACTTGTCATTAACGAAAAAAGCATCGTCCTCACCAATGTCTTTACTCATAGGCTCTTTCCGAAGAACATTCTTTCCCTTCACACAAGCCATGGATTGCAGACATCTCTTCAAATCTAACGCAGGAATCTCCGTCGCCTGCTCAATCTCCTTATAGTTAAGCCGATCAGCATTATTGAACAGCATTAGGACACACATTTGGTAAGTGGAGACATTCAACTCATGCCTCTGGCCTTTCCCGAAGGTAGCCTTTATATCCGCCGTGCCCATGTTAGTCTGCCAGGACAATCTCCGGCCTGTATGCGTCCCGAGGTAATACGAACGGAACTTCTCGCAGAGTTCTGACATTTCTAACGGAAGGTTGCATGTCGCACTAGGTTGAGTTGGCCAGGACCCTGTCGTCAGAACCTGGACAGTCAATGTAGGGCCATCCCCTAGCTCGGGATGACTTGCATAAAACCCTTGCATTGTATCCTGGGCAGTTTTCATGTCTGTAAACATGCCCTCTAATTTTGAAGTAAATTGGTATCCGCATTCGGTCTTGAGCTTAACTATCAAACTTCTCTCTGCCTCGTCGGAGACAGTTTTACCGGACAAAAGCCGCTTTGCCAAATGCTGTTTATAGTACTTTTCGAATACGTCTTTCTCCTGCAAGTAACGGAACAACATCATCACCTTGTCGAGAATAATTTCTACATCCTCCTCGCTGACCCCCTCCAAACCTTTGCGGAGTTTTTCATCAACGAACAGTGAGATGAACTCAGGCGAACGGTTGTTGAGATTAATGAAGTACTCGAAAGAGGAATTCAAAGCATTTAGGAATGTCTTGTCATTGTTAAAAGACAATCTAATGATGCTATCGTACTTATCCTTCTCATCCAAGAGCCTTTGGACAAATTCCACCGGATCTTTCAACGTTTCCGGATCACTAACCAGCTGTTTACCGGTTTCCCTGATGTGGGAAGTCATCACTTCTCGTATTGTTGAGAGACCGTTGGCAACCCGACGGAACAAGTTGTACATTCTTCCAAGGTCTTCGTACTCATCATCAAGAAGCATGTTCACCAAACCTGAATTCTCCATGTGTACTAATCTCAGCATATGGTTTGCAATCATCTCCTTCTCCACCACGTTCGTTATCTTGGCTTCACTCTTGGCATCCAAGTAATGTGTCACCCTCTCCAGTTCCTCATTCAGGCGCCTCTCGGCCTGCTGCAGATAATCTCCACAATCACAGCACTCGATAAATTTTTGAGACTCACCCTTGTAAAATTCAGCTGAAACCTCGAGAAAATGATTCTCAAAGTCGTCCTGGTAAACTGAAGGACCTAAATCCATAAGCATCTTGATTATATTCCTCATCAAACCACGGTTGATAACATCACCTGTTCTTTCTCTCAGCACTAGTTCAAGAAGTGTATTTAGAAGCCTCGTCTGAATCTTGCTAGAGTGGACAATGTTGTCTCTCCAAAGGTTCAGCCCAAGCTCGTGAACTGGGGTTTTCTGGGTGCTCGGAATGTAAGTCCTGTCCATGTACATCAGAATGTCCCGAATCATCTGCAACGCCTTGTTGTGTTCAGTCCATTTCTTATTCATTTCTTCAAGAAACATTCCACCCTGAGCGGATTCAATCGATTTAGATATCTCTTTGAGATGAGAAGTCATGGTCGTAACCAGCCCCGAGTAAAGCTTCTCACCGAATTTGTGAAGCACCATATTGTAGGCATTTCTAAATCCATAAAATAACCAGAGCATAGTTTAGCAACATGAGAATCAGTTCTCATTTTCACAATAAGAAGCGAAATCACATAAAATCCTAAAAGCACTTCTTTCTTATCAATTCACATTTAGGCATGTTTGGACTGCTTCCGCATGAACCAAAAGCGCTTTCTGATACATTTGGCAGGACAAATTAGAAGTGCTTCTGGTCAGTAAAAGTGCTTTAAGGAGGAAAGGCTGCCTCAAGCACTAGAACTTCCAAGTGAAAGTGCTTCTCCAGAAAGGCCTTAAAATTTAGGGCCATTTGCTGAAATTATCAGTTTATAATATTTGGTTGCAGAAATGATCATTTTTTACATGTCGTCATTATATCATCGCTGTGTCATCGACATATGATCAATATGTCGTTGTGACTAAAATCAGATCATTTCTGCAACCAAATGTCAAAAACTAATCATTACAGCCAATTGCCCCAGGATTTAATATGTTCTTGACGTTATTGTAATAAAAACACTTGTAGCATAACTGCTTATTCAAACAAGTGCTTTCTACAGCAAGGTTATTTTCATTTCATTCAAACATATTCGGCATCAAAACACTCAGAACCTAATTTAGCTCTTCCTTCACAAATACTCAATCTATTCCCGGATCGAATGCATCGAAACGAAAACGATGAAAGCAAATTTAGCAAATTTATATTAACAAATCAACAAAATCTAAAATCTCCAACAAAATCAACGCAATTTAAAACAACAAATACAGATACATGAAATTAAGAGGAGGGTGAGGGAGCGAGCGAACCTGTAAAGCTCTTCGAAGCTGAGGCCACTAGCATTGTGATTGTAAATCTCGCGGATTGCGTGCTCCAGAACCTTCCACGTCTTGTCAGCGTATTTCGGATCCACCACCACTCTGTGCTTGAAGGCCTCTATCTGAAAATTCCGCTTCTTCTGGTTACTCATCGGATTCTATTTCCGATTTCGGTATCGCCGCGTGACGGTGGCGTTGAAAATTCCTCTGCTTTTGGTTTGATGGAGGCGAGCGGAGGGAGGGAGGAGACCGGCGGTGATTGGAGCTTTTGATTTGATTTGCCGCGTGACAGTGACGTTGAAAAGGATTGAAACGAAATTGATTGGATGATGGAGGGGAGGGCATTTAAAGCTTTGTATTAATCATTGAGGGATTATTGATTAATTAAGTTAATTAATAAAAATATAAAAAGTTGAAGGGTGTGGGAGGAGGAGAAGCAAAAGCAGGGGTGGCTTGTGCGGGCTGGTTTGGGTTTGGGACGATGCCATTTGATTTCGTTTTTGGTTTTGCTGTTGGAGAAAGATGGAGTTTTGGTATTTTCTTTCGTACTTTTCTCGTTAAGTTACGAAACGTTTCGCCGTTGCGATCGTTGGTAGGTTTTAACCGCACGTTTGTTTCGTTTCGTTTCGTTTCGGTCAAATATTTTCGGCGCTTCCGTGAAAGGTGAAAACCAAGCCACTCTCTCCTCTTGGGCCTCAGCCCGTCGAAGCCCAAGAAGATAATGAGAAATGGGCTTTTAAGCCCGTTGCGCCACTCTCCTTCTGGGCGTGGCGTTGGAAGTAAGCAGTCATAAATATCAAGCAACTGCATGCTATAAACATACACGGAAATCTGCAGAAGGCAGAGCCTTCGAACTTTCAGAAGAAGAAACCAGAAGCTTCTGCTTCTCAGCGGTACGAGGTTCCACGATTCCTGTGCTCTGACTTGTTAGGAACAAAACGACCCCGCTCGCCTCCATTTCCCATCACCGAACAAAATGTCCCAGGATATCTACTCCGAGCGCCCCTTGTTCGGCGGCGCCATTACTAGCACCTTCCCTCTCAGATTCCAGGTCAGTTTTTGTGTGTGTGTGTGTGTGTGTGTATGTTGATTATTTTGGTATTTGTTCTCGTAATTTTATTCCAAATTCTGCATCTTTTTCTTATTTTTCTGTCAAATTTGTAGGATGTGAGCAACATTCGGCAAGTTCCCGATCACCAGGTTCGTTAATATTGTTAACTGGTTTTACTACTTTTTTCAAATTTCGCTTCTTTTACTTAATTTCATGTTGTTGATTTTATTAATATGGTGGGTTTTTGAAGGAGGCGTTTGTGGACCCTGCCCGGGACGATAGCTTGATCTTTGAGCTCTTGGAATTCAAGCACGAAGTCGGCGACAATGGAAGCGCCAACTGGTTTCTTCAGGACCTTGCCACTGAGCAGGATGATGAGGGAAGCATGGTAAACCCTGAACCCTGAACCTTTGCAGCCTAATTTATCGGTTTTGCAATTGTATTTCATCGTTTTATTTTCGCAATTATTTCGTCAGGTGATCGAGCAGTCCGGCATAATTGAGGCCCCCGGATTGTGTTATGGAGACACGCCTGCTGTTGTTACAACTGCTGTTGGTCAAATGGTATGTGCAGTTTGGGTTCCGGGTTATATCGCTTTCGATTCATGCCATTCGTTTTAGGGAGCTATATCTCTGTGTTTTTCATCCTCGAATGTAGGCAATCTCCAAGGGGCGGCAAGGAAGAGATGCACAAAATATTGTGAGGGTATGTTTGTCTGTTGTGTTCTAAATTGTTTCAGAGTGCTACGCCAAGTTCACTTGGGCAAGTATGCTAACCAAGGTTTTATTGTTTGGATTGGGGCAGGTCTATTTGGCGAATCTGCGCCTTAAGGAAGTTAATACGGATGTGCTGATTACTGCATATGAGCCCGTTCATATAAAGTAAGTTTCCACAAAAATTTGATGTTTGTTCTTGACTGAAACTTATTTTGAGTCTTTCATCTAGATACAATAGAAACTTGTCTCTTGGAAACATGATAATCGTGGATGTCCGTTTATTTTGATTGAGATTTTGACGAGTATGTATGTATGAAATATCTGATATGAATGACACTACCTCCTGATTGCACCATACCCTTTAGATGTCGTGTATGCCTTCTTACATGAAGTTTGCAATATACTTTAATCTGCTGCTTATTTCCGTTAAGCAACTAAAAAGGGGAAATTACATCCTACATTGTTAATCCATTGGACGCCTTAAGAAATACAGGTCCCTCCCGATGAGCCTTCCCTGGGTTTCATTTAATACTTCATATAATCTTCGTGTCATCTCGTCTGTAAGCAGTTTGGTTGAGTCAATCTATCTGAAAATCTGCCAAATGCAAATAATTAGTGCATAGCTTCCCCCTTTTATGTTATCATGATCGTGTATGACGGTAGAAAAGAATACGGTTGCTATGAAAGGATTTGAGTCTGCTCCGGTTGAATTCATTCAGGTCAAAAATTGAAAATATATGCATTTTAATAAGTCTTATGTGTCGATAATTTGTGACTTGTGCATTCTATGACATTGATGTGGTTATGTTATTTTGGTTGCAGTCCTTTGAGCGAAAGTGCAAACACCGTGGGGGCTGGTTTTGCGGTACCTGCAGTACAATCTGGGCATATGCCGGTAGCAGAGGTCTTTAAACTCGCCGTCTCTAGCTTCAGAGTCAATGACTGGAATCTTTTTTGTTCTGCTGCCTGAGATGCATTGTGTGTTCATATCTGCAGACTGCAGTAGTACTTTTAAGAGAAGGTGAAACTCTAAATTAGGATAAGATGGGTTTTTGGAAGAGGCATGGGTTGTGACATTTTGTAGTTTGTTTTCTATTTCCCTTTTGGGCTTCTATGAATTCAAGTTTTCTTCCGATCACAAAAAGTTCAAATTACAGACCATCTATAAAATTGATGTTGGGCTGGGCTTGGCATCTGATTGACAACCAAGCAATAACGTTTATCGTGAATTATGTATGAACATAGATAAACTACGTCCTCTGGAACCTAATTTTAGTCTCACTATAACTTATGTAACTTAAAAGTCACTTCTTTACATTTGAAATTCAAAAACAGCTTCAATTTGCCTCCTGAAACTTGATTTTGATCCCATTTTGCCCCCTCAAGGTCGAAAGTCATCTCGATAAATTTCAAAATCTGCTCCACATTGCTTTAGATTTGTTAATTTCTATGTGGGTTTGATTTGGTTTGCCGTTCTAATCAATTTCTTTTTTATTTTTGGCATCTCTTCAGTTTCTTTTAAACTAAATATTCTATGATTTTTGTATGTTAACGCATAATGGAGGTTTATAATCAAGTTTATCATACAAGTGGCATGTCCTATTGGGTATTAGATTCCACATATGTTTTAGGAGACAACTTATAAGTTTAAGCAAAAAGAGAGAGTCTACGAGTCAAATGAATAAATTTTAAGTTTAAAGAAGTAAAGTTGTGACTTTTGAGTTACAAAGACAAAATGAAATCAAAATGGAGTTCTAAGGGCGTAACTACAAATAAGTCATGAAAGTAATATTGTTTAACTTTTTATAACATAGTAATAAAAAGTTAAACAGTTTTACACCTTGACCTCTTGAGGCAAGATTTTGGATCAATCACTGCACCACAAGGACCACGAAATTATTTTGGCTTATTATTACTTTGATCATGTAACCACCACGAGGTGGTTGAGAGATTAGAGACGAATTTCAGACCCATATTCTATACGTCACGTCCTTAATTCGATTTCTTAGTGCTAGTAAATGGTGACTAGAGGAGGCTGAAATGCCTCAGTCAGTCTTTCAGCCTTCCCGAAAGATGGACTCTGCCGATCTCTTTTTTTTTTAAACAAATAATACTTTGGTTATGTGAAAATCAGTTAACTTGTCAACGAAATTAATAATGAATACATAATTCGTTGCTCCGACAATTTAACATTGATACATCATCGATTATTAACATACTTTTCATAGTATTGATAATATCGAAACTTTACATAATTATTGATGCGTTGTTAGCAATAATCTACATATGATTGCACGGTACCAGACTATGTGACCCAAATTTTCCTCAAGAGACAAAATAAGAGAAAAACTCAGGGAAAAATGTTAAGGAGATCACATATGTGTAGTGTCAGTGTAACTTTCACTTTGGCAAAATATATACCAAGTCAATCACGTGGCGGGCAGCTAGTTTGAATTATGAACTGAGTGGGGCCAAAAGCATACAATATGGCTGCCCTCCCTCCCACTGTATTTTGTTTTCATACTTTAGAGATGATGACTAATTTGTTGAAATTATTGGTTGTCAAATTTGCCCAATTCACATCATATCATTGCAAAATCTTATAATCTAGATACGATAAGTGTGACAATGACATAAAATATCAGGATTTATTATTTTAAGTTTTGCCATACATTGTGTGAATAAATCAAGAAACCAAACTCCTCTCCCACACAAGATGAAAGAAAGGGGACGCCGGTCCAATTTACAAATTTTGGACGGTGGCTTTAGCTTGGTGAGGTATAGTTTTTCTTTATTCAATCAAAATACATCTAAAATAAGCGTGATTTTAAAGAAAAACTTATGGAGGAATGTAAAACTTTACAATTGAGATGTGATAAAATAAAGAATCGCTACGATTCTTTTTTTATAAAACTTCACACCTACTCAACCAAAAGAAATTCCCCACCTCCTAGGCTAGCATGTCACCAAGTTAGAAATAATACGATGTTGTACGGATGAGCAGTGGACTGTTGCCCTATCATTTGTCGGTCGACTCGGCTGAAAAGGGACGATCACGCGTAGTATCCAACTGATTCAAAAATTAAACGAAGACCCTATATTTTGGCTGTATATACCCAACTCTACTAGTTTTATCCGATTTTGAGAAATACTCTAATCATATAGTTTTACTGAAGTTTCTATTGCAAGTTAAGAGGCAATGAGAAAAGTAGTGTTTTCACACTCTTTTTTATCTCTCATACGCTTTTGTTAATTTTTTTCATAAATCTTCTTTGATTTATTCAATTTAACGGTCGAATTGAGAGGAGTGTGTGAAAGACCAAACAAACGTGTGAGTAACACCATCAAAATAAAAAATGAATTAAGTTAAGGGATGTCAATGTCAAATTAGTGGCGAGCCAGGCCAATGAAAGCCCATCTGGCTTGATAACACATAAACATCATCTCGTATCCAAAAGAAAAGACATGATGTGACCCCAACTACCGCAACTTTTTTAACCTTATCTTAATACATTTTATTCCAAAATATTACAGTATTTAGATAACTTCCCCAAATCTTGCGAGAAAAGTAAGAAGGTAGAAAAAACAAAAAACCTCACAAATAATTCATAAACCCTTTTTTTGGTCAAACTATAATAGTACTGGATTCGTAATGAAACGTTACATCCTCAACAGGAGTAGTAGACTCTATCTTACTATGAGCATCCCCATTTGTTGATACAAAAGAAGTTACCGAGCGAGCTGCTTCGTGTCGAAGGTAATACCATAAAATTAGGAGGACAAGCAGATTCCGATTGTTTGAGTCCTATGTTGGTGTTTCCTGCCCACCCACTGACTCCGGCAAAAAGACCCAAGAAGGAAAGTAATTTGTATGACACATTACACCGTAATAGTGATGATTCGTGCCAATAATTTCAAAACATCTAACAATTACATACATGTTTTTGTATTATTTACACGAGACACCATGTGGCAGTGCAGTTGTATCATGTCGAGGAGGAGAAAGACATTCCATTGACTATTGTAATTTAAATTTTTTAATTTATTAAATAACTTATTAATTTATAATATCTTTATATAAACTAAAATCTTTAGAATATATTAGAATGCCCATTTCTCTTTTGTAAGTTTGTAATATCAATGTGTGTGTGTTTTTACGACTGAATGTGATTTAGTAGCATTATCACAGTGTTAATGCTTAAGGGTTTAATTCTCAACAAAAATATCTAAATTATATCTTGGAGTACAAAAACTTTAATTTTCAGAATTCTCAGAATTAAATGTTTTAAATGTTGTTTAGATAACATGTTTTACAGGAAGTTAATTTTGAGTCATATCACATGTGATTCCAAACTAAGATCATTGGCTATGTGATAGAAGAATTTGCATGCATTTACGTAATATATTTTTCTCCACTTATTACTGGCTGACGAGTTCAATACTTTCTTATGACTAATGTATCATGTAGTTTACTTTACATGTTTTCTTCCAAAAATTGTTACCTTCATCCCTTGAAATCATAGTGTGCAAAGCTTGGGACATATTTCAAATTACAAAGTGAAACACCTCGAGGATAGAACAATATATAAAATATATGAGTTTAAACAATTATTGGACCCATACCTCAGTCGTGCTCACAGATATACTTTTACCGACACAGGCACAGCCGTGAATCGTGATATGGTTTCTTTAGTTTATTATGGTCAATTCCTTTCTCACGATGGAGACGGTAATTAGATTAATTATCATTATTGTTATTATTTTACTTATTGCACCATGCAACCAAACACATCAACACTTCCCATACATCGCATGTTCAACCGGCAAAATTTACAGTCATATACAAACACTAATGATATGGGGTTTTCTTTAAATAATGAATTTATGGTTGACTGTATTTTTTTTATACGTGCGATAATAAGAGGAACAGAGGAATCAAACTTCAAATTACGAGGGTGATTATTCTTAATTAAGTGTTACTGAGTTATAATTGTTTACATGGTCTTGTTTTGGATGAACCAAGTTTAGAACCAAAAATTCGATACCTTACCCCCGAATCATAATTTAATTTGTTGCCCTTGAATTGGACATCACAGTATCACACCAATCACTGCTTTGACACAGGAGACAATAATCTCTATGAAACCGCAAATTCTAGACCGATCTATTGCTTTCCATCACAAGTTCATAACACTGCCTCTTTTGTCAAATTTGTATCTTGTACGATTTTGAAACTTGTGTTCAGAATTTTAAATTGAGTTGACTTCTATATGAATTTGCATATCAGTGTATTTTCAAAGTCGATGTGAGTGTGAGAGACTCATAAATATGAATGGTCAAGGTCGGTCGGCATTTGCATGCACGGCGTATTCTACCACGGCTGATAGTATTTTGTACGTAAAGAAAATTGGACGGTGAAGAGTTGAAGCATGCAGCTGTCCTCTCTGCTGACAGAGACCATAAAATTATGAAAGCACCACAAAGATGGAAAGGATATCAGAAGGAGGAGACCCGTCGCACAGTTTCTAGCTACCAACAAGGCAACCAGCTACTAAAACTAGGTAAGGTCACCGCAAGCAATAGCTGTGGAATGACCCACAAATATTCATCAATACATTTCTTTCTGTGCATAGTACGGAAAAGTGCTTATTGGATTCTTCAAGCTGGTTAAGCTGCTTAAAATAGTGCACTCATGATTAATTACATGATCCCAATAACCTGTCATTCAGTACTTCATTCTTTCCCTTCATTTTATTTTGGATTAATATTGTGCATGCGTGCACAACTGTCATTCCATATCTTTCTAGCTAGCTAATATTCTTCTAATCATAGAAAAGAAATTCATCTATGCATGCTAAGAAGGTAACTGTTTAAATATAATTATCATCAGTCTACACACAGACGGGTTGTAACTACATTATTCTGCATAGGGGTTACTTTGTGTATATGCACATGATAGCTTTTTCTCACTCCTTTCCAATCCGCAAGTTCCAATCCTTTTGTTCGAAATTTCTTCGTTCATATCGAACCGCTTGAGAATCAAATCATGTTCCACAAGACCCTATATCAGCTATACATCCTCTTGCATTTATGCCGGCGACGTCGTTAGTCCTATGGGTGTTGGCTTATGTAGATAAATAATGATGAATGAACTGTGGCATTCCACTCGCCGCCAATGCGGAAGGATTTCGTCAAAAAGAATGGAACGTTGCTTCGATATGCTGAATGTGTTAGATCTCGTACAAAAGCAAGTTCTTTATTAAATAGAAATTCGAATTTGAGACCTCGTTTGATATTAAAAAGAAAGATGGCAATGGATTAAGAATGTGTTAGTGTGTGACATGATTTATGAGAATCAATTGCCCCGCAGTTGGTCATTAACAAATGGCTCATGCATAAACAATTGATGCTACTTAATTAGCATGCCCATTTGGACAACACAAAAGGCCATAAACTGGAATTTTTTAAACCAGAGTCTTTATTTTTTGCCAAGAATTTGAGTATAAAGGCAAGAGATATTAAATCCATGGTGCTTATAATATGTTTGGATATGAATTGAATTGTATCTTTTGAAGAAAAAAAAAAGAGGGACTGGCTTGGCCTAAAAGAGGACGAAAATGATTTATTTATAGCTCGGCCAACCACCAACATTCCGACAAATTTGTTTATATGATTGAATCTGATGAGCTAGCCTGTGTGGAGGGTAAGCTATCTTCATCACCCTCATGAATATGATAGCCAGGTACGTAACAAGGCACGTGATTTCTTAGGCAATCATCGTCAGGTATTAATCCCATTGGTTTCTTTCGATAGCCCTTCAACGGTGTGGATTCAATATTGTGATGTTGGAGAGAGAGATTAGAACCTACGATACAGGTGGGCAATTTTTTTTTTTGGAAAATGCCACCTTTTTTTTAGGGTAATACTAGGTAGACCAAAATTTTAAACTAAATTTGCAAACTAAATAATGTGTCACTAATAGGAAATAAGCAAATCAACACTTAAATAATAATCAAATCATCAACAACCACAACATTTAGTTATCAAATTTAGTTAAAATTTGTTCTATCCAGCATTACCCTTTTCTAAAAGTAATAATTCTTATGTTTTTGTCCATTATACTCTGACATATATGTGTAGAAATTGAACAAAGTTGGGGTTCCAACATAAAAATATGGGGAGTATCTCAACCACTTATAAGCCCATGCAATGTCTCTCCTCCTATCAATGGGGGATTCATTCTCAACACCTCATTCACGTGTGGCGAATTTTCATGTTTAACATGTGAATAACACAACGGGATGATATGGAGCCCGTGTGGCCGTTTGGCTTCACACGTGGGACGACCTGCTCTGGTACCGTGAAGAAAGTTGGGGTTCCATCTTAAAACCAATTAGCAATATGAAGAGTAGCCCAACCTCTTATAAGCCCATGCAATGTCTCTCATCCCATCAATGTGAGACTCATTCTCAACATAAATAAGTATTTGAAATGCAAAAAAATATTGAATTTATGCACAACATATAAAAAATATTTGAAAAAAAAGTGTAAGAATTACATGTAAAAATTTCTACTTCCACGAGAAGAAGCTGAGTCTAATTCATTTTCTTATATATATGTGTGTGCGCGCGTGTATGTGTAAAGAGCTTGATAGTGCTATTTTTGTCACAACCATTTTGGTATTTGTAATTTATTATTTTACAATGGTGTTTGGTTTTAACCTCAAGATAAGAGAAAAGATGTAATTGAAATAAACTTATATTATAATACATGATTTAATTTTTTAATTATAAATGTTATTTTATACTAATCAACACTAAGTGGAAGAAAAAGGATCTAAACATGAGACGCAACGAGTTAAAAAAGATAAACCCTAATCATTAGAACAATTCACCATTTATAAAACAGAATAGAAATTAATATAATAAAATAATAATTGATTAATTAATTAAGTTGGGTGCAGAAAAGTAAATGTCTTGGAATACTAATGAAATGACCAGGCACTGGCTAGTTAGTGCTAGTCATCATAGTATTAGCATTCAAGTTTAATTAGTTTACTACAAGTTAATCAGACGTGAAAGATAATGATCGATCGATCTCTCAATTCAATTGTCATTATCGAACGCCAACTGTTTTTATTTCCATTTACGTGTAAAGATTTATTTAGTTTCTACGTACATATGTATGATTACTATCTGCTGGATAGGTTTGTTGGTTGTTGAAATGTAATTGTTTCTGCTTCCGATTTATGTTCTTTTTTTCTTCTCTTTGCTCCCTTTTAAGTAACACTAATTGACTATTAGGTGTGTTAAGCACATCGCTTGAGATCTACAATGTTCTAAAGTTCAAATCCTCAAGAAAAAAATTGAGATAAAGATTAAATTACTTCGCGAACACTATGACATTTATGTGTGCTAGCCCCAATATTCATCAAAAGTAGTCACGATACACTCTACTGAGATATTATATATATGTTATAATTTATTTGTAACCTTCTCATATATTATATTCTGCTAAAAATACCTGTTACTTGGCAGTGATGCAAAATCATATAGATGCATTATGTGACAATTACAGCAACAAAAAAGTATAATCTTACTAAGTCGGGTTGACTATATAAATACTAGAACGTCATTGCGCATAGTCGTTAGTTCTAAGTACTCTATGCATTTTTTTAGAGTTTCTTTCCAAGTCTTCATAGGTCTTCCTCTATCCCTCTTTCTCTGAGCTTCTGTCTCATAATTGCATCTTTTAACCGCAATATCTGCAGATTTTCGATTCACATATCCAAACCACCTTAACAAATTTTAGAGATCATCTTCCGTTTGATTTAGTTCAAAACGATCAATACATAGAATCATTAAGCAAATTTCAGAATTTGAACGTTGAAAACATAGTCCTTGAGTCATGAGGACCAAATATCTTGTGCAACGTGGCTCACATGTATTGAATAGAGAACACCAAAACTGTAGGGTATATTTATGTAGGGACACAAGCCTCTGCATTATGGCGTTTGAAATAAAGTTAATTAATTATTGAGTATCCTATTCTTTAACATAAAGATAACTTTATTATTCTTATCATACATATATGTTTATCCTTGGTTGTTTTAGTTGATAGTTTAGAGCTTTAAGTGGTATATGTAGCGATCGCGAGTCTCTGCATTTAGATGTTTGAATAAGTTAATTAATTATTGATTATCCCATTGTTTACTATAAATATAACTTTATTCTTCTTATCATATATTATTACATGCCATATATGCATGCTTCAACTATATGTAAAATTTTAACAAAGTCACAGTTTTTTTACAGCTCGTATATTAATCCTTTATGTGTGTTTGATAAATGTAATATTTGGAACTTAACTATGGTATATTATTATCCATTTATTGTTAGAAGATCCTCGAGGAGGTGGCATAAAATGGTGGAAAGTGGGAACCCTATTTCCAAAGGCAAAGGGCAAAGGTGCAAAGGCAAAACCGCAATGATTACATGAATGCGATTGGAGCCACTGGATAATCTTTTTCCTCTTTAAATTACCAATCAGTCTATTAGGGTTTTAAGAAATGTTAAGGGAAATTTCTTAAATGTGAGATTTTTTTACAGATTCTCTACTATACTTCACAGTTTAATTTTAATTTTATTACTAATATTATAAAATATTATGTAAAAGATTTAAGGAGATAAAGAATTTATAAAAAATCATACTTTTAAGAGGACTCCTTAATCTATCTATGGGGATTTTGACTTGGCAGAGTGGGTCCCCACCTGCGGCCACCACCTTCTTCATGAATTGAATGGTAAAGAGCACCACACGTGGAGTCTGAATCAAGGAACTGTCCAACCACAATAAAAAGGACACAACTCAGCAAATTTAATTTATATTTTTGGTAGGAAATCAAACGGAAAAAAAATGAGAAACGTCCAAAGTTGCAAACAAACTCTCATCCTTCTAATGAATGAAAGCAACAATTTCAATGGAGAAAACTATTGTTTTTAAGAAAAAAAAAGAGCGGTAATATTCCAAGAATTATAGAACCAAGTTCATGCAGACATAGAACATGATCAATAAATAAAAATAAATTTTAACGAAAAATTTCCGGTATTGTTTATTTTAACGAAAAACCATATTTTTACACTAAAAAGTCAATCATGGTACTATTTATTTTATCATTTATTTTGTCCTTATCATTAAAACTCAAAGTTTTCAAACCCTTTTCATTAGTTTTTATTAAATAAAAAGTATTTTATCATAATGGTAAGAAACATCAATACATATGTAGAACAAACATGATAATAAAAAATATTTTAAATTGTAATTGAATGATTTAACCATTAATAGTTCAAGTATTCTTTCAAGGATCATCTCTTATGTCTCATCTCACAAGGCGTCCCTCAAACTTATTTGATGAATTCTTCAATACAATAGGATTGTTAGATTATTAAAATAATTATTTTGGCCAATCCTTAACGTCATATCGTGACGAATCTAAATGTAAATCTGAAATAATTACAACTTAAAACAAAGAGAGAAAATTGTTCTTTATAATATGCATGTATATATATTTTAGATTTTTATTATGGATCATAGGCCAACCATATAATTCCCACTCATTATTTTTGTTGCTTAAAGCTTGCCTGGCCTCTTCCCTTGAGTCTTGACCCTTATCCTTTCTTTTCTGTTCTCTTCTCTTCTCTCTCAAACAAAAGAGAGAAAAAAACAACTCAACTCAACAGCTGCTGAGCTGCCACCTTCCCCCTTCTGCAAAGAATTTCATGCTCCACAGTCCACACGAGAGAGACCCACTAGGCCAGGCCAGGCCACCACAAATTGATAGAAATTGCGCTGCTGGGTCAGCTTTCTACAGTTGTTTGTACCAGGAGAAGAAACCAAGGAAAAAAAATAAAAATAAAAAATAAAAAAATAGTGAGTGATCGATCGTCCCCTCCATATGATCATGGAAGCAGATAATGGGATCCGCTGCAGGCCCAATTTTCCACTACAATTCCTCGACAAAACCAACCAAGTCGATGACGATCCAGAACCAGCCGCTGCATGCTCTACTGTCGCCGATCCCGGTTCAGACCCCAACAGAACCGGTTCCTCAATTCAAGAACAACAACCCAGTAACAAGAAGCCTCCCCCGAAGAGGACATCCACCAAAGACAGGCACACGAAAGTCGACGGGCGGGGCCGCCGCATCCGCATGCCCGCCACGTGCGCAGCTAGGGTTTTCCAGCTCACGCGGGAGCTAGGGCACAAGTCCGACGGTGAGACCATCGAGTGGCTCCTTCAGCAGGCCGAGCCTTCTGTCATCGCCGCCACCGGAACCGGCACTATTCCCTCCAATTTCACTTCCCTCAACATCTCGCTCAGGAGCTCCGGGTCCAGCATGTCGGCGCCGTCGCACTACTTGAGGACTAACGCGAGTAATTATTACTTCAACTCCAACAACTTCGGAGCAGCTGCGCCCACCTCGCAATTGGGTACGGCGGAGCACTCGCAGCGCGGAAGGATTTTGTTTCCCGGTGCAGGGTTAATGTCGTCTGAGAGTTCTCCTCCGTCGTCGATGTTGTGGAATTTCAATAATTCTGGCAACGATAATATAAGTAATAATACAATGTTGGAAGCCAAGCAAGAGTTAGGTGATCATCATCAGGCTGTTACTCTCGATGAGGCAAGTAGTATGGCGAGAAAGAGAATTCGGCCGGAGCAAGATTTGTTATCCGCGAGTACAGGTTCAATTCCTGCGAATCAAAATACAATTCCGGCTACATTTTGGATGGTGGCAAATAATAACCCTAGTAATAGCCAAGGGAGTATTCACCACGAACACATTAATTCCATTAATCCCATGTGGACAATTCCGACAGTTGGTAACGCCGGCAATATGTATCGAGGGCCCGTGGCTGGCGGTGGCCACGGCTTGCATTTTATGAATTTCGCTTCTCCATTGGCTATATTGCCTGGCCAACAATTGGGTACAGGGTCAATTACAACAACTCAAGGCGCCGCCGACAGCCACTTGGGAATGATGGCCGCGCTCAACGCATATCGGCCTATTCTTGGCGGGGTAGCCATGGAGTCTCCTGCGAATGGGCAGCATCCGCACCAGGGAGCGGACGAGGGACATGATCGTAATACCAATGCTAGGTAGTCTCTATTAATTAATCCTTGCTAGGTTAAGTATTCCAATAAGAGTACTATGGTTTTTGGTACTTTTATTTTTGTTTTTTAGAATTAATAATTACTAGCTAGTTTCTTAATTAAGTGCATATATGTCCATTTTGCAGTGAAGGCGCAAGTTTGATTGCTTTGAATTTTGAGTTAATGTTGGATATTTGGTGTGAGTCAGCCAGTAAGAAGATTTTATCAGGGTTTTTTATTAGAGGAAAAATTTCGTTTATAATATGGGTGAACGACAATTGTGTTTTAATTACAAAAACGTATGGCATGTTTTTTGGTATGATTGGACTGTAACCAATGTATAGCTTCATCATGCATGTTTAAGTTGCTAATAACTATTAATTCAGAATATGTGTTGCCATAATATATTTGCCACGGATCGAGTTCAGGAAAGCCTACATGCATGCATTTCTGTCGTTAATTACTAATGAATTAAGGCTAGCTCATTTGTTTTTCATCTTGGATCAGCATAAACTCGATCATAATCTGTTTCCGTAGAAACATTTGCTTCCCCCACTGAAAAGTTTGCATGTCTGATTATGACTGGCTAGACATATCTACGTATGATGTCCCACGATCACGAACTGGAGTTTCTCTAAAATACATCGGTATATGAGATGCACCAATGTTTGAACTGCTACATTGAGTTTATAGGAAAGCCTATGTGCATGCATTTATGTCTTCGTTAATGAATTAAGGCTCTTCTCTTAATCCTGGATCAATCACTATAAACTCAATCAATGATCATATAAGGCTCTTTGTATCTTTCTTTCATTGATCAAAATCTGAAACTTTCAAGTATATATACTCCCAGTACATATATAGGATACACCATAGCATTGTAGAATTTTCACAAAACGTTTCATTGATCAAAATTTTATGAACTGCTAAGAATCAGAAACATTTGTTTCCCTCACTGCAATATTGGACTTAAAAATTCTTTGAAAGATTTTCCATGTCTGGTTCTGATTCGGTAGACATACGTATACATGATCTCCCACGATCATGAATTAATAATATGCATCATACTGCTACCCTCCCAGTAGCTACTGCAGTTGTGATTCAGGTTCCGTACGTAAGCCGGGCCAGGATGAAGGAGCCCCACGACGCCTAATCAGGTCGATCCGGACCCTTAATTAAGATGGCTGTACGCACTCGCTACTCACGTTTTATCAGCAAATGGTCAGATGGGAGAGCAATTTAAAGGCACGAGTACATTGTTAATGCGACGTCTTGTGTCAATGATACAACGGTATGTAAATAAAACCTTACACATGTATTTGTATCACTGATGCAAGACGCTACAGTAATGATGTACTCGTGAATGAGCCGACCATTGCCTATAAATAAATTGACACCAATAATATACAGTGGTATTCGCTGACTCCTGCATGCATTTCTGTTCTTTCTGTAGCGACTTATTTGCTCGTATATAATTAAGGTCGTCGTCAGTGCTATCTTATGGTATATATAGAGATGGATCGATTGATGGATCAAATTAAGTGGCTAGCTAGCTTAGCTACTACTGCATGTGGTCCTGCAGGACCATTTTCATTCATTGTATTGGTTAAGTGGCTAGCTAGGACATGGCAGATAGACGTTGATACTACTGCAGTTCTTCATGGAAATATATACATATATGCACATTTACAAGTGTGTGTATTAATTTGTCCTACCTGTATATGTTCCTATCTTAATTAACTCTTTTTTAACAAGCAATGACAGTGAGCGACTGATGTGAAACGTCGGTCGTGTAAGTTTGGTCATTTTAGCATTAGGACATGGGTTTGCTTTGCTTTAATTTTATGTTATAGCCAGCATGGTTGTCCATGACCCAACAACTTCAAATATGTATATTGTGTTTGATTCTATAAACAGTTAGGACAAACCAAATTATAACATTTTCCTCCTACTTCTTCTTCTAGTTTTTTCTATCATCCTTGTCTTCTCTTTCTCTCTTCTTGTGTGCAACTCTATGTTGCCACCAAACTCGCGAAAAAATGCATGAGTTGACAAACCTTGACAGTCTTCAATATTACTCCCCAATTTCTTATGGCCACCCTCAAGCCTCTACATATCATAGTAGTTGTTGGGATATGTTGGCATAAGCCTTCGGTAGATGTTGACAAAAATCAAAAAGTTTCTACCAGGTGCTTGACAAAATGATCCAATAATTTTTTTTTTTTTTTTTGTCAAAATCATAACCCCATTATTTGAAAACCTTGGCTTTGCCATACACATATGGCCGAGCGAATTATTAATTATTTTTCATGAATATATATTATATATTTATATATATACATACACACACTTATTATGTATATAAAATGTTCAAAGAGTTGTTGGATGCAAGTTGCAATCTTTTAAGCCTATTTTTAATTATTCAATTATAACTTGCATGATGTCATTATTGTATGATTGTTTTATTTCGTCTCAGTGTTCTTAAACAACCGTTTCAATTAGAGTTTAGGAATTTTTTTTTATTGAATAAAAACGATAATATTACTTTATTTTATAATAGAGTGAAAACGAGAGTTTTTACATTAACATACCCAATTTAATTACAAAATATACTTGCTCCCGGGAACCTTGAACTAGCTCGCTTGGATCAATATATCTCTTAGTTTTTTGGTTAAATCAAGCACTTAAAAAGATGAAACACATGTTAATTTGGCTAAATAATAGATATTTTACACACTCATATCTAAATTATAGAGAAGAAAATTCGAACTCGAATGTAAAGAAAGAGCATATAGCTCTAAACTTAGACATGCAAGAGAGGAAACGCATGTTAATTTGTTTGTTTCTTCTTCTTCAACAATTGATATGGTTTTCGTACTACGTATAATGAAGTACTGGTGTAAAAAATACACAAACATTATAGCCGAACAACTGAGACGTAGTATTGTAGTCATACCACAATTTATATTAAAATATAGAATAATATATATGAGTGTATGGCAAGAGGACTTTAAAATCTCCATACCACATTGGTAGGTAAGACGATTATTGCAGGCCCCGGTAGATATTATTGTTATTTAATTAGCACTATATGCAAGCTCGCTATGAAGATAAAATTGCTCATCATCGGAGCATCCAGATGCTTCACTATATTAGGGTAAAATCCTACCTAGCTAGTGATTCATACAGTGATTTTCATTTAACTGCAACCACATGATGATAACGTCAGTAAAATGAATTGAATGTTATTATACTCACCTCAATGTCTTATTTTTAGGGATGGGTTCGGTTGGTAAATCGTGCCAAATTTCTTGTGCCACCTACCAGCCACATATAGATAACTACCAAAAATCAGTTACCGCTAGTCAACTGTCTTCTTGCGGTTGCCAAAAATCGGTTCAACAAAAATTATTGGCTGATTCGGTTGGTAAATGGCACAACTGGTGGTTTGCATTGCACTGCATTATTGGTCCCTGGACCCTGATGAAATATATGCGTACATCTTCTAACTCCAAATAACGGGATACAACAGAAAAATTTCATTTAAAAATAATACTGGAATGCAACAGTACTATGAATACGTAAGATATGCATAAAGCATCGCAATACAATAAATCCCCAAGAGAAGGGTTTCACAAATATTGACCTAAATTTGAAAGCTGATGATGAAGAAGAAGATTTATGGTAGAGAAAGGAGTTGGCCGTATGACAGGGAGGTGTGTGTTGAAGAGAAGAAGAAAATTGAGAGAAGGCTGCTAGAAGTCGTGCATATATTTTTTAAACCCTAAAACTAAGGATTCATTGATTTTTGAAACCCTAAAACTGAGGAGTCAAACACGTAAAAAATACCTAAAATATCTAAATAGAAAGAAGAAAAAAAAAAAAAATATATATATATAGGTAGGTATGACATACCACCGGCATACAAATCAATTACCAAAGTCATGCCATTAATTGTTGGTTCAGTAAAATACCAACCGATTATGAAAAAATGCCAAACTATACCATACCACTATAAGTTTACCGGTATGGTTCGGTCGGTAAATGGATTTGTGGCAAAATTTCCCACCCCTACTTATTTCTCTACTCAAATTAGAATGCTGATAAGTCCAATTGAGCCTCCACTCACCCCAAGGCCTCTCTTCCTGATTTAATTCCTGTTAGAATTCTAGAATATTGTCACCTTCCAGATCTTCAGCCGATTGCGACTCTCCTTCCTTCTCTCTCTCCAGACCCCCAACGTAAACCCCCTTCCCTCCCTCTTCCAAGTTTCACGAATTACATGCCTCACGCCGCATTCGCAAATTTCATCCTCATATGCCCCATTACCAAATTGGCGACAACCCAATCCCATCCCTCCAAGTCCAACTCCTTTTTCTCGTCTCCCATTTCATTTTTCAAAATTTAAATAATTATTTTATTATTCAAATGCTTTAAACTATTATATATGATTAAACTAGAGGAATATAAAATGGAGAAAATCCTTTTTACTTTTTTTTCTTTTTTTTTTTTGGAGGAATTACAATAATTGAGAGGGATGGTGAATGGAGAAATCCCTCTTTTTTTTTTCTTTTTTTTAATTTTATTTATTTATTTATTTATTTATTTTTACTTTGGTCCTTAGATGGCATTTTAAGAGGATAAAATTGGTATGAAATTTTTATTAAAAAGTGAGTGTGGAGTTAAGACAGTTAGAGGTGAGTTCGTTAGCGCTCGATAAATATTAAATATTAATGCTTCGATAAGTATGCGTGTGATTCGTTGTACTATACTTCTCTAATCATTGTGATTAATCATTGATATTTGAAAGGAATGTGTCTTCAAACCGTTTGAGCTTGCTGGCTATGCTTCTGGTTTGTTCTAATCCTATACTAAAATTCGGTATCGCTTGTAAATTTTTAAGGCCTCATTAATATGTTGTCTATGATTAAACTAGAATTGATAACCTTTTAAATTCAAGATATATTAAAGATAGCGTAGAATGATTCTTTTCATTTTGAGAGGATTACAAGGGGATACACATGAAGAAAATTTCTTCATTCTACTTAATTTTCTCCTTTCCACTCCTACTATCTTGTGAGTATCCTAGTTTCAAGTCGGCCACAATTTTTTCATTTCTTCCTTTAGCATACATTGAAAATCATGATTTATTTATTTCAATTCAATTTTCTATATCAAACAACGCCTAAGAGACTAGAATAAGAATCTTAAACCAAAATGACAACAAAAAAACGAAAAATTCAAGAGCAAATTAATGGAAATCAACGTTGTCAACTAAATTAAAAATAGTCATGTATTTAATGTGACGTGCATGCATTTTGGATACTGCATACAAAAATTTTAGGCCTCACAGTGTACAGTGACAGTACAGTGCAGTGAAGTTACCGTATCTCGGCCATGCCTCCCTCCTTCCATCGAGAGAAAATTTGAAGCTAAAGGACGGTTATTAAATAAGAAAAACTAATGAAAATGACTTGAAAATTTTGAGTTTTAATGATAAAGACAAAATAAAAGGTAAAATGAATAGTATCCGAATTGACTTTTTAATGTAAAAATATAATTTTTTATTAAAATAAACTGTACCAGAAGGTTTTCGTTAAAATTTCCTAAATAATATGTGGAAACAGCACTGTTTACGATTTAACGGGACCTAGAGCTATAGTAATCTGCATACGGTGAGGGGACCTCATTTGTTTATTTTCCCAGCTTTTGGGCCATGAGTAGAAGAACTAACTAAAATATCACTCCAATTCATCCCGCCCGCCAACTATTGCTCAATTAATTAACATCAAATCTGCTGATTCTTGGTGAAGTGAAAGACTGTCATGCATTATCTAAAATTTGGGCAAAGTAGTCTTAAAAAAATTTGACCTCTATGTCAATTATGTGACAATTACGTTAGATATCGTCATGATATCACTTAATCTTACCACAAGATTTTTATAGTTTTCAAGTGATTTGAGTAACTAGAGTTTTGACCTCTATTAGATTTGATTAAATTTTTCACTTGATCCGCAACTTCTCAGTTACAAGTTAATATTGACGAGGCATGGCAATCTAATCAACCTGCCTACAAGCAATGTCTAGTAGTGCTATCAATCATTTGGCCTATTTGGAGGCCAACACAATTTAGGGCTAAACGATTAGAACAAAACTGGGCTCGCAACAAGTTTGGATAGTTAATTAACATGGTTGGAGAAGGATTTAACAGAGAATTCAATCCCTAATGATGATTAGAGACTGTATCTTACTGTCAAGCAGGCTCGAAGTTCAAAAATCGGTGCCTAATTTCTTGTGTACAATTCTCCGCAAAATCAGCTGACCCTTTACAAGCTTTTCAACGTTTTCTTTCTCTTGTCACCTTTATAGCCAGCTTTTTGAAACCCTTCTCCAATCCTCCTCTCTTTTTATAGATCCAGCTCATACTTTTATAAGAGCTCAAAAGGACGTAGCAGTAAGATTGTAGACAGCCAATTTGCAAGAGATGGGTCGTAACAATGATTCTGGGAATTTTCTACAAGTTGTGGCTAACAACTTTGATGTTCTTGCTTTGTATGTCCCCCTTAATTAGCCCCCTCTCTAAATTCTACAACTATATAAATGTATGATTGTTCTTGTTTAATTAATCTGGTCCTTAAACATATCTAAGTTGGATTCTTTGTCTCTGATTTGCAGGCCTCTAGTCACACTAGTTTATCCCCTGTAAGTATAGTGTCATGATTCTGTGCCTTTCTTCCTGAACGGTCAACACTGCTAATACGGTTTTTCTAGTATGCTATATGGAGTATTCTACATACTCCATATATATTTTTTCCGTTAGATCCTTAGTTAAGAATCAATGATAAACAAAATATTTGTATATATAGGATACACCGGAGCGTAATAGAAGTTTCGCTAGCAATCACCTATGGTTTCATGATATTTGTTGTGTTTTTTTGCTAGATATGCTTCAATTAGGGCAATAGAAACCAAGTCTCGTACCGATGATCAACAATGGCTTACCTATTGGGTTCTGTATTCTCTGATGACAATCTTTGAGCTCACATTCGCCAAAATCCTTGAATGGTACTGTTTTTTCTTGTTAGATTTCAGATAAAATGTTGTTCGTAACTAATTCCGGTCTTAATTCTCAATATCTAATGAAGTATCTAGTTAGAAACTGGCAAATTATAACCCTAATTATCGTATAATGTCCTTACTATTGATCAGCTTTCCGGTATGGACTTATGCCAAGTTGATATTCACATGTTGGTTGGTGCTGCCACAATTCAACGGAGCTGCACATGTTTATCGACGCTTCATCAGACCATACTATATGAACCCACAAGTTGCTCATCAAATGTGGTATTTCCCAAGAAAGAAGGGCGGTAGCCTCTTCAGCAAGCCGGATGACGTTTTAACCGCCGCCGAAAAATACATGGAAGAGCACGGGACAGAAGCATTTGAAAGGCTCATAAGCAAGGTACATTGATATGCCTATCTAATTTGTGTGATATGTGAAAGTCCCACGTCGAAACTTGAGAAACTAAAATACAGATAAAATACAACATATTGTAGAAACTGAAGAAGCTAAGAAACTAAAATACAGATAAAATGAAACATATTGTAGAACCATCAACAAAACGCCAAATATTTTGGCCGAGAAGGAACGGTTTGACTTGGCTTTCCCATATCAGATAGTTGGTGTCAATGAGTTTCAAGGAAACAAGATGAGAAATGTTTGGAATGGAAAGAGTAGGAAGCGTGGAGGAGGTTGCCATAAGCGAGAGAAACACAGAGAATGAGGATCGGACGAGGCTTTAGAAAGTTGATAACATGTAGAAACTGATTTTCTTTAATATTCACAAGACCAACATACAAGACATATATACAAATGGGTAGCTAATAATATACGGTTATAGCTTAAAGGTGATAAACATAAACATCAACATAAATATAGAGCTACAACATAATTGACAATTGACTATTATTCTAAAATTAATGTCCATAACTATTGTAACAGAAACGGTGTAACTATTGTAACTCTCTAACACATAAAATAGTTCCACTACTAATTGTATTTGTAGCGGTCTTTTATATATATATAAAACCTTCAACTCACTGATAATATGTGAATGTGATTAAGTTGGGAACAATATAAATGTTAATTGGTAGTGATCATCTTTCCATCTTCATGTTGCAAGTATACAAAGTAATATTATTTCTGATTTGCAGGCTGATAGAGAAAGGAGCAACAGGAAGAGCAACAACTACATGATCTTTGATGACGATTATATGTACTAATTAAATCGCAGTTCCTGTCTTAATTAATTCTGTTAACGGTACTTATGCTGATCTTTTCCTAAACAACATTTTGTATGCTACGTCTCTTAAATCATGAAATGGTGTGTCGATTTGGTTTTGAGTATTTTTGGCTGCAAGCGCATTGCGCTGCTATAAAGCTGCAAGCCAACACATACATCTAACAATGCGATACTAACTTAAAACCACTTAAACAAGAACGAAACTAATAATTTTCTTGAATTATTTACTGAATATATATGCATGACAAGTTTCATCACAGTCACGAAACGAAAAAACATCTGTCGCTAAACCCTAAATCCAATATATAGTCAATAACTGAGCCGATACCTTCACATCGGATTCCAGCAAAAGTTATTACATCGTTCAAATGGCAGAACTCGTTTGGAAGTGTTTTTAAAGTGATTGAAATTGTTTTTGATAAAAATGCTTTTGAAATGAATATTCTTTAATAAAAATCAAGTGATTTTGTAACTCAAAATCAATTTCATCAAAAGTGTTTTTAGTAATTTTAAAAGTACTTCAAAACAAGCTCTTTATATTGTGGATTAAAGGAAAAAAAGAAGGAAAAGCATATTTGGAGACCGCTCTTTCTTCTTGTTCTTTATTTTGGGATCGAAACATTGGGGGACATATCTTTTTCTTATCAAAGCATTAGGGGACATAACTCTATAAAGAATCAATTCAATGGTGTTTTTTTATCATCTAAAAAGACCACCAAAGTGGCAATCCAAAGCGAGCTTATGCTTTATAACTAGGCTAAAAATTAATTACATAAACAAGACTGGTTTTCTTTAATACATACAATATTTGTATTTCTACTAATTTAATTTTCAGATTCATCTAAACAATATTGTACTCTAAAACCAATCTTTGATTGCAAAAGTAATATCTAAGCTCATTTGTATAAGAAAAACACATTCGTCATACTGAATATAACAATACGCACATCTACATACAGATATTGTGATACAAAATATTTACTGCACTAAATCCATGTAAATTATATAAAAAAATTTCAAACTTTAATACAAAGGAAAAACCACATTATTCTAATTAATTTGACTAATCTCAAATCTTTATTGTTTAATTTTGTCACCAAATGCCAATAACACAAGCATTTGGTAAAAAAAAATAAGACTTGGTTTCTATTTGGGTCAACAGAATAAGACATGCTTTTTTCTTGGTCAACAAAATACGACAAGCTTTTTTCTTGGTCAACATATAAGACAGTGCTTATTGGCGCAAATAAGGACAAAAGCAAACCATCCGGGTCCCGCGAGATTTTCAGTTGGTGACGTGGCATGAAGCAGGAGCGACAAAACCAACTGTTCGACTTCAAAAGAACGAAAGAAAGAAGGGAACAGGAAAAGAAAAAGAAAAGAATGAGAGAGGCGCGCACGTTAGCTAACAAACAACCACAATCCCCGAAGCTCTGCCAAATTCCACATTGACGACGACGACGACGACGACGACGACCTCTCCGACGTCGCAAAGAGCTCGCTTTCTTCTCCTCCCATTTTCCTGTAAATTTTTCCAATTTTTTAATTTTCTTTTTTCTTTCTGGAAGTGAGCGACGTCGGATTTTGGAAAATGGCTGGCGAATATCTTCATCTTTCTCGCAATGTAGGTAAAATCATTCTTCGTTTGCCCTAATCTGCGCTCTCTTTTGGTTTAGAATGTGTGTTTTGGTGTCGAAAAATACAAAAAACTGAAGTTTTCCGAGGAATTCGACCGTCTATGTGAATTTTAGGGTTTCCCTGATTTCCAAGGAACTGGTTTGAGCTGTTTCGGAGCTGAAAGTTGATCAGTGGAGCCTCATTTGGTTGAAATTAAGGGTTTGGTTTTACGGAATTGCGAAATTCTGAGGGGAGGGGTTTGAGTTTCTTGAGCTGCAAGGTTTTGTTGTTGAGAGCCGAGGTTTATTTGTGGGTGTAATGGGTTAGAGGCGGAGCAAATCAATTTCCTTTTGTTGTTTTAATGGGGAGAAGTTGGGAATTGGGTTATGGTATTAGGTGGTGGTGGTGTTCAAATGGGTATTGGGTCTTGGACTTGTGGGCAAAACCTGATATTGCAACTTGAATGGCTAGTCCTCAGAGAAGCGGTCCGGTCGAGAGGGATATCGACCAGGTTTGTTCCTTTTCATCAGTTATTTCCCATTAATTCCACTCAGAGTGAGCCATGACAAATATTTTTGTTCAAATGATGCATTGAGCTTAAGTCATATCAGCTCATGTTTCCATTTTTCTTCTTTCCATTCTGTTTACAGGCCATCACAGCACTTAAGAAAGGTGCAACTTTGTTAAAATATGGACGCAGAGGGAAGCCGAAATTCTGCCCATTCCGGCTTTCTAATGTAAGTTGGCTCGACATGTAGCCTTGTTTGGTTTCAGCTCTTTTGGCTCAGATAATTCTGGTTTCGTTTCAGGACGAGGCTCTTTTGATATGGTACTCTGGCAAAGAAGAAAAACACCTTAAACTTTGTCATGTTTCGACAATTATTCCTGGCCAGCGTACTGTGAGTTTCAGCTCCCATTCTGTTTTCAGATAAAATCTCCACCAAAGCTTGACTGTAAAATCTCACCGTGAAAATTTTCTTGACTGCTTATGCCTGCTCTCGAAAGAAGCTTACATGGAAGATTTGTTCTTTGGTGGCTTCACCAATTACCTTCCAAAGATATTTATAAACATCACTGCGGCTTTTCTTTGCAGGCAATATTTCAGCGGTATCCACGGCCTGAAAAGGAGTATCAGTCATTTTCGCTTCTATACAACGACAGGTCCTTGGACTTGGTGAGTAAATTTGCCACATATATTCAAGGATCATTGATGCAACTGCAAGTATAAAAGCACCTGAGAAATTGTATTTTCTGGTATATCATGGTTTAATCAGTTAACACCCCCTGCTGGACAGATATGTAAAGACAAAGATGAAGCTGAAGTTTGGTTTGTTGGTCTTAAGGCAATAATCACTCGAGGTAATTACCGGAACTGGAGAAGCGAATCAAGATCGGAGGGCACATCAATAGATAGCCCCCATGCTCGGACTCGACGACGTTCTCCAACAGTGACACCATTCAGCATTGGGGTGATTTATCTTTTGTTATTTCTTTTATAAGGAAACAAAGAATGTACCTCTCTTGATGTATCAGGTATTTACGTTTTATTTCTTGGTGTTTTTACCAAATAAAACAGGATCCAAGAGATACTGAGGGAGTTTCTTTGGAGAATATCCCACAGAGTAGATTAGGTCGAGCATTCGCTGACATAATATCTTATACTGCCACCCCCAAGAATGCCATACAGGCCGAATCAGTCTCAAATGCGTCGTTATCACCTGTATCTGTGGATAACTCCAATGGTCGAAATTCTGCATCTGAAGCATTTCGGGTTAGTTTATCTAGTGCTGTAAGCTCGTCTAGTCAAGGTTCTTGTCAAGATGATTTTGATGCTTTAGGAGATGTTTTCATTTGGGGCGAAGGTATTGGTGGTGGAGTACTTGGAGGCGGTGTGGATAGAGTAGGGAGCTCGTATGGTTCCAGGACGGATGCTCTTCTGCCTAAGGTATTGGAATCAACAGTGGTCGTAGATGTTCATGGAATTGCTTGTGGTGCCAGACATGCTGTTCTGGTCACCAAGCAAGGGGAAATCTTCAGCTGGGGAGAGGAGTCAGGAGGCAGGCTTGGTCACGGTGTCGATACAGATGTTTCCCACCCAAAGCTCATTGAGACTCTTAGTGGGATGAATGTTGAATTAGTGGCATGTGGGGAATATCACACTTGTGCTGTTACACTTTCTGGAGATCTCTATACATGGGGTGATGGTACTCATCATTTTGGCCTGCTTGGGCATGGAAGTGAAGTTAGTCACTGGATTCCCAAAAAGGTATGTGGTCACTTGGAAGGTATCCACATATCCTATATCGCTTGTGGACCGTGGCATACAGCTGCTGTGACATCAGGTGGCCAGTTATTTACCTTTGGGGATGGAACTTTTGGTGCCTTAGGGCATGGGGATCATAGTAGCACAAGTACGCCACGAGAGGTGGAAACTTTGAGAGGGCTAAGAACAACAAGGATTGCTTGTGGTATTTGGCACACTGCTGCAGTTGTTGAAGTAGTGAATGAATCGTCTAGCCCCGAGACTTCTAGTAACTCTTCATATGGGAAGCTCTACACTTGGGGTGATGGTGATAAAGGCCGACTTGGACATGGTGATGAACAATCTAAGCTAGTTCCCGAACGCGTAGCTGCATTGGTTGATAAAAATATTTGTCAAGTAGCCTGTGGCCATAATCTCACAGTTGGCCTTACAACCTCAGGACAAGTATATACGATGGGAAGTGCTGCTTATGGACAGCTTGGCAATCCTTCAGCTGACGGGAAAGTTCCCACTCTGGTCGAGGGTGAAATTGCAAATAGTTTTGTGGAAGAAATTGCATGCGGTTCTTATCATGTTGCAGTTTTGACTTCCAAGACTGAGGTTTATACTTGGGGAAGGGGTTCGAATGGGCAACTAGGCCACGGAGACAATGATCATAGATATACGCCTACCCCTGTTGATTGTATGAAGGATAAGCAAGTAAAGAGTGTAGCATGTGGTCCAAACCTAACGGCGGTCATTTGTCTTCATAAATGGGTATCAAGTGCTGACCATTCTGTTTGCTCTGATTGTCACAATCCCTTTGGTTTCAGAAGAAAACGTCATAATTGTTACAACTGTGGGCTAGTCTTCTGCAAAGCATGCAGCAGCAAGAAATCTCTGAAAGCTGCCTTGGCTCCAAATACAAACAAGCCATATCGGGTGTGCGACGAGTGTTATAGTAAACTGAAGAAGGCTGCAGAAGCCAGTTCTGCTTTGCGAAGTCCAATAAGAAGTGGAAATATGCGTCCTAAATCCAATGAGGTGACAGATAAAGAAAATCTGATCCCTATGTTACGGGCAACACTCTCCAGACTCTCTTCTTTCGGCACAAACAACCACGGCGAAAGCAAGCAGCTTAAGCGAGAAAGAAAACCAGAAGTGCGTGATAATCGTGTCTTCCCAGTGTTGAATGGACAGTTGCAGTTAGGGGGTTTTAATTTGACAAGAGCATCAACTCCTCTCACTGCAGATTCAGAAAAAGTTGTTTCGCCTTCTATTCCTGCCTCTAAAAAGGCTTCTCGGTATACATCTCCTGTTTCAGGAAAGTCAAGTCCACGCCGGTCTTCTGAAGAAATCATTCTTGAGGATTCAAAGCTTATAAATGGAAGTTTGAGCCAAGAAATCGTACAATTAAGGACACAGGTAGGCCTTTTTATACTGCTTTAATGTCTACAATCTAATAGTTAATGACATCTGTGCATATAACTAAATCTTTTGGTGGGTTCTGGGATCCAAATCTTTGACATTCTGTGTAGCTGCTGAAGAGAGAGGAACTAGCCTAGCTTATGAACTGAGGAATTGGATTAAAATTTGCGTCCTTACGAAAATTAGTTAAAGTGATGTGTATACATTAAGCTGAAATTGTTCCAAAAACTATGTAGGTAGAAGGCCTTACTCTCAAATCCCAGCATCTTGAAGCTGAACTTCAACGCACATCAAAGAAATTGAAGGAGGTCTCTGCAATAGCCACAGATGAAACTGAAAAACGCAAATCTGCAAAAGAAGTTATTAAGTCTCTAACTGCTCAGGTTGCAACCGTTCTGTGTTCGATGTTCTGTTTTTTCTTATGTTTTCTGATTCTTTGGCTTTGCAACTTTTCCTATCCTCCGTAATTTTCTAATGTTACACTGATTTTACTTGTCGAACAGTTGAAGGAGATGTCCGAAAGAATGCCTGAAGGGCAGATGAGTCATTGCAATACAGGTTCTATTTCGCATGCAATCAGCTTTGGGAACCAGTTATCCAAAGAGCCCTCTGTGTCAAACATAAATACTTCGGAAACTTTGTCCAATGGCAATTCAATGGATCGAATCCTAACTAATGGGACTAAATCACCAACTGGAAAGTCCGAGCGGGTGCTACAAGACGAACCTGGTGTATATATAACTCTAAGCTCCTTGCCAGATGGCAGTAATGAACTCAGGCGTGTTCGCTTCAGGTACCTCTCTCCTCCTCCCCCTTTATTTTCAGAGTCAGATAAATACAACCAAGTAAATATCTAAGGCCATGGCTTAGGCCGCAGAAGATTCACTCTGTTTCTTTTTCGGCCTGCCACGTTGTGCCGTCATTGCATTTGAATCCATTACCTAGAGGAATCTCCATCAGCTTTCTCACATTATCCTACCATTTCTGAATCATTCATATCTATGTTAGTTTTCCATAGTCTAGATTTTTCGAACGAAAACTATTACAATCGACTTTATAATATCACAGTGCGGATTGATGAAATGTATTTGATGCCCTCTACCTTGTTTGCTGAAATTTAAATTGTTGTTCGACAGTCGGAGACATTTCACTGAAGAAGCAGCGGAAAGATGGTGGGCTGAAAATGGGGCGAAGTTATGTGAGCGCCACAATATAAAAGGTGCAGAGTAATATGCTGTCAGCTCTCCTGTGCAAACCTCATACGCGTACACCCAATGATCCTCTTCCCCACCAGAACGTGTAAATTATTGAAACCCGTAAATCATTCCGCCGAGATAGAGCGAAGGATATGGAGTCGGAATTAGTAGGTAGACTGATATATTAGGATGTTAAAATTGAAAAGATGAGAAAGACATTTGAGAATTCTAGATATTCTGCAGTTAATGCTGTTTTTTCCCCTTAAATTTGTGCCAAAATACTAGATTTGTACCAAAATATCAATCTCTAACCTTATCTTTTGTACATCAAGTTGAACACAGTTCTTCAACCTTAACTATCCATCTCAATTGAGCTCAGTCCAGCTTCCTTTATCAGGTTGTCTTCTATTCGAACTGGCCGAAATTTCACTTCTCCCGCCATATTTTCATCTTCTATTTCCTGCATTCTTGTCATATGATCCTGCAACCTTCCGGCAATCGCGTAAGTACCTGATAATAGCATTGAATTGGTGGGATGATCATCATTTAGTTCCACCAGCACTTTCTGGACAGATTCCCCAAGAGAAACATACCCATAAACCCTGCAAGCCGAAAGCAGTGCACGCCATGCTGTAACATCAGTCTTAATGGGCAAGCCTTCAATTAGTTTATGTGCTTCCTCCAACAACCCTGCACGACCCAAAAGATCGACCATACAACCATAGTGTTCCACCTTCGGCACAAAGCCATACTTGCAAACCATCGTCTCGAAACATCTAACTCCCTCTGCCACCAGCCCTCCATGGCTGCAAGCACTTAAAACTGCCAAGAAAGTGACCTCATTAGGTTGAGAGCCCTCTTCTTCCATCCTATCAAATAGCCTTATGGCATTACCCGCCTGCCCATGAACACCACAACCCGAAATCATGGCAGTCCATGATTTCACATCTTTGCTTTCCATGCTCTCAAAGATGTCAAGTGCCTTGTCCAAAAACCCACATTTAGCATGCATATCAACCAGAGCTGTTCCGAGAACCGCATCCAATACCAAGTTCTCGTGTTCCACATAATCCTTAATGCAACTCCCTACACTTACAGACCCAGAAGCAGCACAAACCGAAAGCAACCCGGCCAATGTAGATGAATTCGGTTTCATTCCTTCGAGTTTCATCAGCCGTAACAAGGCTACTGCTTCTTCTACCATGCCACATCTTGCATACTTATCAACCAAACAATTCCATAACACGACATCCTTCACAGAAACTCCATTGAAAATCCGACGTCCTAAATTGATTTCCCCTTTCTTCGCGTACGCATCAATCAAAGCAGTAAGAACATGTAAATCCGAACAGAAGCCAATCTTGATGCAATAGCCATGAATACACTCTTCTCCAAGGTGACTCTCTAAACCACCAATGGCAGACAAAAGGTTCAAAACGGTGGTCACACTAGCTTCAAAACCGATACTGCACATTTGCTTGAACAAATCCACAACCACATGAGGCTTAGACGCATGAAGATACCCACCCATCAAAGTATTCAACGAAACCAAATCATTTCTTTGAGGAAATTCGTCAAACATCTTCCGGGCATCTTCAATCTTCCCAGAAACACAATAAAATTGCAAAAGGGTATTCTTTACATTGACAAACGGTCCAAACCCAGACCTCACAACAACCCCATGAATCCCTCGGCCGGTCCCAATGGCCGATTCACGAGCGCAGGCTTTGATTGTCGCGACGAAAGAGAACTGGTCCAGCGTGATATTCTGAGCTCTCAGCTTATTGAAGATATGAAAAGCATGCTTTGGATCATCGCTGATGGAGTAGGCTCTGAGCATGGTATTAAACATGAAGAGATTTGGGTTTTGTATTCGGTTGAAAATGGGGGTGGCGTATTGGATGTCTTGGATGGAAGAGGCAAGAAGCTTGCTGGAGAGAAAAGGAAGGCGGTCGAGACCAGTCTTGACCATGGACCCATGGATTTGTGAGATTTCTGAGACTGTTTTGCAGGATTGTAAAAGAGAAATGAGGCTCAGATCTTGGGAGAAGACGGAGTTGTGTGTGGGCGAAAGTGTGAGTCTTTGCCCCAGACGTGACGACTTAGCTATCAATGTCATCAGCCATGCGGCGCTGGCACGGCGGCGGCAGCGTTTGAATTGTTTGGAGCTCACGCCAAAAATTCAGGCACTCAAATACCAAAGCTCCAAAGCCATATAATAGTAGTGTCAGTTTTTGCATTCCATTCAATAAGGTTCAAAAAGTTCATGCTACTGGAATACCAAGTGGCACTATCTAGTGACTACCAATGTTCTAAAAGACGCTAGACGTTAGTCAGGTGGCCAGCTAGGGCCTAGCGATGAGATGGCTAGGCAGGCGCTTAGGTGGATTTAACTAAATCTACTATATTTTGCATAAATAAGTGTTTATTTATACATAAAATATATATAATTTCATCATAAACTACAAAATAAAATGATATATATATATTATGAGCTATTGGAACATAATAAAAACAGGAGGAACAAACATATAATGTGTGTCCATTCAAGTATTCAACAAGTCTCTTACAATTTATTGGAAAAAAAAATAAAATGTAAAATAAAGGTTATCTATTTTCTATCTAAGCAAGTCACAAACTAGGCGGGTTTGGAGGGGCTAGGCGGTCTAAGTAGGCGCCTCAGTAGGTCTACGCGTTATTTCTTAATTTTTAAACGTTTAAACATTAATCGGGACAGTGATCAGCCGCTTAGAGTCTAAGTAGAGATTTTTAGAAGGCACTCTTTTTCATTGTAACTTATCCCGACAAAAAACTTACCTTCAAGTGAAATAGCAAGGTGATAGTATCTAGCGACATGTCATCGTGACTGTCAAATACCAAAAGTAACAGTAGAGTAACTACCACTCTCTTTTTGTTTTAACTTGCTCATATGTTGTCTAGTTTGGAATATTGTCATCTTGGTATCCTGATCGGTCGTGAACTCCACAAATTACAGAACTTCCATGTTTGTAAGTATCTCTAGGTTGTTATGGTAGTCAATTAATTCTAGACTTCTGTCCGTGGAAATGTAGGCAATAGGATCTTGCATATTTCTAGGATAGGGCTATCCACACACCCATTTTTACTTCTCACATACCCTTCTTGATTTTCGATTTTCGAATTGAATAATTGAAGAAGATAAATGATCTAAAGTCACTTCTCTTCCCTACAAGTGATGTGAAAATGACCTATAGACGGGTAAACCGTGGGGAGAGGGAGGCGGAAGCCTTTGTTGGTGGAAGAGTAAGCGGCTGTCTGCAAAACCATATTTAAGGTTCATACTATGATACTCCCAACTGAAAAATGAACTGAAAAACGCCATTAGGATGTTGTAACTGCAACTTTGAAGGATATACATATATTCACTTGCACTAATTGCACTTTCAGTTGCCTAAAGGATGGTACCGTCATACATTGAGAAAACCCGATATCACAACTTGCAATAAGTGATACGGTAACTATGAATACATTCGGTGCTGATATCTCCCGTAGGCAGAAACGGGATGTATGAAAGTAGCCCAAGACCAAACTACCTTTCCTTATACGGGGAAAGACTGCTGCTGCTCATTGGAGTCTTCTCCTCCTTGAAGGGTTGGGTCGATGCATCGGATAGACTTGGTAGCCTTGAAACAGAACCCCTCCCTTTCCTCGCATTCGGCCCTAACTCCTCTATCATGTATTTCCACCCATCAATTGGTCTCCTCCGGCTAAATATGTGAGTCTTGATAAAGCTAGCAATCTGCATGCCAATGTCATATAACCAGCGGTAAGCATCGAGACAGCAGAAATAAATTGTTAGCAAGATTGTCGTGCGTGTAATAAAACGAAGGGATTCAGAACTTTGTGTAGAAAGGCTTTGCAAAGTCTGGTTCACCAAAGCAATGTGAAACTTTTGCGATTGAGTTATTAATCCGATGGCTCTTCCAATTACTCATTTCAACAAGAAAGGAACCATACTAAAACTACAAAACTGTACGAGCTGAACTTTTCTAGCATATGAAATAGGTTCACACAAATAATGTAAAGTTCAGGGCTAATCCTACAAGTTGTACCGTTCATTTATATTATTAGTGTGAGTGAATATACACACCTGAAATTTATTGTATGCAATCCGACGCTCAAACTCTTGAAGAAGAATATCTTCTTCTCTCTGCGTCATCTCCCATATATTTCCCTCCTGGGCCTTAGATGTAGTTTCCCAACCATCAGGTTTGTTTTTGTAGTCAGAAGCACTTGGTGCTTTAGAGTTCTCCAAATCGTTGTTAGGGGAGTCAAAAATGCTGCAAGTATTAAAAAAGTAAACCAAAAATTTAAATTCGCAAGCAACCTCAAGAAACTTTGCTACTACGCTGAAACAAACAGAAAGTAAAGATTGAAGCTTTAATCCGGTAACTTCCGTGCAAAACCGAAGACTTTAATGCAAAACAATCAATTGGACTCGAAGCTCTAAAACATGACGAGTCAAAACTTTACATGTGCAAGTGCAACATCTGAACTCGGATACGTAACCCACATCAAATTGATAGCAGAAAGTTCACATTCCATAGTTCCTACCAACTGATGAAGCACAACAAAACCCGCCATACTTATCTAGAAAGACTTCTACTAATAAGCAGTTTTATCGGAAGCGCTTTTATCATAATCACGTCGAAATTTCAAATAAAAAGCCCAGAGCTTCAATCAAAAGGACTTGAAATGCTTCCCTTTCAGTTCAAGGTGATTTTCTAACCCAGAAGCACTTTTACTTTTTCAGCCAAACTTGTCAACTAACGCTTTTTTTCTAAAAGCACTTAAAAACACAAAAACACATTACAAATGAGTTCACAAACAGATACGTTCATATATATGCAGAGGTAAACAGAGAGAAAGATTTAACATACTCAGAGCAACTATCGAGCAATCGCTCGATGTCGTCGCCACCGCCAATCGAATTCGAGTTGGCCAATTTAGCCTCCTCCTGCTTCTCAATCTCCTTCATCCAAAGCCCAGCGTGAATCCTCTGTTTCTTCACCCGATAGTCCTTCTTCAAGCTCTCCAAGCTATAAAGCGACGACCCACTCTCACTCTGCTGATTCTGCTTCCTTTCCTCTTTGGGTTTCCGCCTCTCGTTCCAATTCTCGTTCATGTCCTCCACGAACGCCATCGTCTCGGGGTCGGCGTCCGACGGAAGCACGATGCTCGACTCGGGAGACGAAAAATTGACGTCGGTCTCCCATGGAGCTCTGCTGTTGTTTCCCGAGAGGTCGGGTGGGATCCACGCCGTCTCCCACGCGTCGTTCCAGTCGTCGTCGCCGCCGCCTTTCTTTGAGTTGGACGAGAAGGTTCGGAGATTGGCGGCTGAAATGAATTGGGTTTTGGCGATTGTGGACGAAAGTCGGGGGAGCTCGGTCCTTGTTGCTATGCGTTTAAGGGCTTGCATGGTTTGTGGAATCGGTGGAGAGAACTGGAGAGAATCGCAGAAATGGAAGCATAAACCCCTTGTTCTGAGAGAGACGGGGACGCAGAGAGGAACAAGAGCATACGGGCCTAACCAAAAAGCCCAAGTATTTCAATTGCTTAGAAATGATATATTGGGCCCTAATTTCGATATTGGGCCATAGAGAAAGCAAATAAAACTTTGTTTTTTTTTTTTTTTTTTTTTTTTTTTTTTTTTTTTTTTAAGATGGGAGGAAATCGAACCCCGATATATCCCAATCCTAACCTTTTCCCCCCTTTTTCTCACTATTTATGCAAACCTCAAAAGCATAATTCCCTTGTTTTAAGGTTGACAGGAACATGTAAGTGTAGCGGTTTTCTCAGTCTAATTTAAAATCAGAGAATCCTATTGTGGAGTGGGCGTGGCAATAAGTTTTGTTTAGGTTTATCTAATTAGATGTGTCATGCGAGTAATTCATGTTAATTGTGTACTTGTAAGGTCTTATATTCGTGTGAGTTTCAATTCGTGTAATGTGTCATGTCTGAAATTGTTGTCCTTAATAATAAATGTAAAAAATGATAAAATATTCAATTTGCAATATCAAAATTTAACAGGAAGTGTCAAAATGTTTTTTTTTTAGTACAACGATATATTTCACACTAAAGGAAATGAGTAGTTCGGCTAAGCCACACAATGGGTAACCTAATTTGGTAACAAGCCATCTCCAACCGAAAGGTCCAGAGGGCCGAAAATAGCCCAAAAACCGTCTCCAACCAGGGGCTAGCACAGAGAGCTCGTGGGCCCACGGAATCTAAAAGGGCCAAAGGGTTGGCCAGAAAATCAGAGCAATCATGTCGGATATAACCAATAAGAATGCTAAAACAAAATTTTGAATCCAACGGCTAACTGATTAGCCATTGTATTCTTTCTTTTTTTTTTTCTTTTTTTTTTTTAATTCTTAAAATTTCTATTTTTTTTTTCTTCCTATAAATACCTAAACCATTCATTAAATTTAAGTTATAATTTTTTTGGTTTTTTGGGCCAGTTACCATTGCAGTTTTTAAATTTAAGTTGTTGTAATTTTTAAATTTAAATAATAAATTATGTTTGGTCCTCAGTTGGAGACGGTTTTTTGTGACATGGCTAAAACGAGCCCTATAGCCCTTCGCCCCTAGGTTGGAGACGGAAGCAAATATGGCCATGTATTGTTCATTAAAATATTAATATCTTTGAGGGCCATAGGGTTAAAACGAGCCCTCTGGCCACCCTCAGTTGGAGATGGCCTCAAATTCGCCATCTACAAGATTCGAACCTAAGATCTCTCACTTACAAGTGAAGAAAAATATCAACAAACTGTAGTATTTAATAGCTATTATTATTATTATTTATTCATTTAAATAAGTAATGGTGTTGGGGCCCCAGAAACTGTAAACCTTACGCAAATGGATAGGCCACAGCATACAAGCCCACCTGAGCTCCGAGTTTTGTATGTTATCTTGGTTATAAATACTCTAAGGGCTGGTTTGGTATTGTTGCGATTTGAAAAAAAACCAAAAAAAAAAAATTGTTTCTGATGTGTTGTGAGAATAAATAGTTGTGAAATAAAGCAGCAAAGTGTATGATAAACTTTTTTGTAAAAGTGCTTTTGGAAAAGGAAAAACAAACAGTATTATAGTGTTTGGTAAACTTTTGTGTAAAACAGCTGTGATTTTGTGAAATGCCTAAAAATGATATAATACTATTTTATTATTATGATATTTTATTTAATATTACTATTTTTAAGTGAGGATTTTGTGTGGTCGTGGGGCCCATAACCCCATTTCCCTTCTCTGTGTGTCTTCATTTCCCTCTACACTCTCGAACTCTCTCGAAAACTCTCAGCTCTCTCTCTCTCTGCACTCTTTCCTCCACCGAGACAACCCTACACACAAACTTTCGATCTTAGACCATCTCACCACCGGATTATCATCATCTCCACCCCCATGAATTTAACCCCAAGTTTGGGTTATGGGAATTGTGTTTTGGGTGCTGAGGATAAGAAAATTTGAGAACTTAAATCCCTGAGCTTTTCGGCAAGAATCAGGAGTTGCATAATGAGCTTGCTATGATCTGTTGTGTGAAATTGTGATCTTAGATCGAGCACTTGATGATTTTGATAGTTGGGTTTTGGATTTGTTTCTTTGGTCTGCGATGCGACGACAAGTTGAAATTTGAAAAATACTCCAATGGGATTTCGATTTCAAAATTTGAAATCCGGCAAAATAAGAATATCAAATATGAAGATCCGATCTTCAACCCAGCAAGAAGGAGAAACGAAGGAGGGTATTTTTGAGATTGTGAAAGTTTCATTAAATTCTACTGTTCACCCGACTCCTTGAAGAAAGAAAAAAGCTGGTTTTGAGAAGCAGCAAAATGTTGCTTCTGCTTTTTGCCACTTTTCAGCTTAAAATGATCTGTGACCTTGAAAATAAGCAGAGTAACCAAACACAAATTTTACTCCAACTTTTTTTCATCCCTGCTTTTAAAATAATTTAAGCAGCACCAAACCTTACCTAAAGCATGTTTAGACAAGCATACCAATGGAACACTATTGTACAAGGCAGTCACATTCAAGAGTCGTATCTTATATCTATAATTTTTAACATGAACTTGTTATTCCTACCTTAATAATAATAAATAAAATAAAAATATGAGCTCGTTTGAAAGTGCTTCTAAAATGATTGAAAGTATTCTTACAGAAAATATTTTTAGAGTCTATAAGCACTTGAAGTGTTTTTCTAGGATTTACTTCTTTTTTTTTTTTTTTTTTTACTAAGAATTGGTTTCAAAAATATTTTCATCAAAAGCTTTTTTAATTATTTTAAAAATAATTTCAAACGAGTCTTATATGTACTTATATGATTCAGTAATTGATCTAGTACATTGATAAATAAATTGTGCATTATGCGCTTGTTTTGTGATCAAGATTAGATTGATATATTCACAATTTCAAAGCATGTTAAATAAAGAATTGAATAATTTCGTCTAATTTAAAGGTAGAAGATGAATGGTACACAAATAAACTTATATATTTCAATTCAAACATAATTACCACGGGGTGGCGCCCATATTTCACATGGCACGTTCTGAGTTCGATTCCTGGTACTGGTGAGTCACACAATGGTGGCCAGGGGGAGACTGAAATGGCACTGTAAGTCTTCCCAACATAATGGTGGATTGTCTGGACAAAACTGTCAGCTGGTCCCCCTTGTAACGAAAAATACTCCAACATAATGATAGGCTTAGAAAGATAAGTTTCGTTCATGTCTAATTTCTTCTAATCTCCTCAAAATGAAAATTTATTCCCCTTATCTTCAACATATCTTGAGTTCTATGAGTAATTCACCGTAATTTAATTATAGTCCGCAAACGAATGTAATGATTTTTCAAAGTACAAATAACGTGATTCATAATTAATAGTGTTCGATGATTAGTTAGTTCATGGATGTAACTGTCAATCTAGACGGACTTTGCCTTCCTCCACCAATCGAAGCAGTATGTGGAAACATCTCGCCCATAAAATACGCATCTATATAGTCGCGAAGAAATTGTGGTGAGTGTCAATACGCATTCCTTTCAAGTTCCAGATATTTATAAAAGTGGGAATTAATTGCAGAGAAATAGACAGGAGAGAACCAATGGCCATCAAACTGCAAGTTGGAAATAAGCTACTAACTGCTGAGTTGCTTGTATTGCAAGGAATTGGAAACTGGTGGGGTTGGGAGAATATGATTTTGGAATTACCTGTGTCCGAGGAAGCTTCCCGCGCCTCAAATATTTTTTCAAAATATTCCAAACAAATCATCTGACGTTATTATTGTATTCAAATAAAATCTTAGATATATATTTTTCATAATATGTGAAACGATACATCGCATGATTAATATTCTTGATGTTGATAAAGATTTTCTCACCACACCACAGAAAAAGACTTTTATAGAATGAGTACACAACGAGATGACTTTTTATATAAATCATACAAATATATATACTAATTTCTCTTCATGTGTCATTATATAATTAGCACAAAACATCATCATAACCGTTTGCATTTACCATGCAAATTGCTTTCCATACCTCATCAATGGGTATCAATTACCCACTTTCTTATGAGTTGTGTGTTTAATTAACAAAGTCGTACACGCACTTTGGTCTCTCCACTTGTAATTTTGTGGAGATTTAAAATTTGGAATCTTCCCCTAAGGCAACCACTTTCGTTGTTGAGCTTCTTCCCCTTTTTCTTATTAATTGTTGGACAATTGCGATGATGGCATGCTTCAATTATAATCTCCATCTTTATCATACATTACACACTATAGTTCATACAACTTTTTCAAGACTAAAATGAGGCCTAAAATAGTAGAGTAGGAGTTTTTTGCAATAAAAATTTAGAAAATTTTTAAGGCTTGTTTGAGAAGTGCTTTTAAATAACTGAAAGCGTTTTTAGAGAAAATGAAAAAAAAAAATCTTCAATGTGTGAAATGATTAATTTTGTATTTGAACTTTAACTAAGAGTATATGTGGAATAAAAAATTTTGTATTTTTAAAGGATTGGTTATTGAGTTTTATGTGCTAATGGAATTCACGTGTCAACATCTAAATGTAAAAAGCAAGTGAAAAAAGGTAAATGATAAGTAATTTTTCAATGTGCCCAACGACTAGTATTCTTGTTCCTTAATTTTGAAGTGAAAACGACACGATCCTTGCAATTGTTTTCTAGTCTACTTGTTCCCCATGTTTTCATTATATTCTAATACTTCACAATATATATATATATATATATGTCATTCTATTTTGTAGTTTATGATGAAAATATATAAATTTAAAGTATAAGCAGACACTTATTTACACGAAATATAATAGATTTATTTAAATCCGTCTAGTTCGTCTAAACGCCAAGGCATTAAGTCCCAACCCGACTAGCACTTAGCATCTTTGAAAACTTTAGATATACCAATGCATTGGTATAGTTAACTTATTAGATATACCCATGCATAATAAAATAAAATAAAAAGTAAA